TTTTTGTTCATGCTTTTCGTAAAATATATTTGAATTCATAAGACCATCGAAAACCAGTGTGAAAAATGCCCGCTACTTAAGTAGTCATCTCTTACCTACAAGGTTTCTAAAAGAGATTTAAAAGAGGTGCATTCAAAAGCAGACATCCTGAAGAGTCCGAAATATTATAAGAGAATGCCGCAAGATAATCATTATTAGAACCCTCACTCGGTCACTCATTGTAAGTAGCCTCTCCTAATTTGACAGCTAAAGTCATTTTTCTTGTACATCAACAGAAAAGATGGCTACTTGAATAATAAAGGCCAGATGTCCAGCTGCTTCAGCGCTCACAGCCATCCACTGGGTCGGCAGCGCGAAGTCCGACTGGCTTTCTCCTACAGAGCTAAAGCCTGACTGCTGTTTTGCAGCACAGGCGGGAGGTAGCCGTCTTCGCGTGTAGACTTGGAAAGATAAGGTCTTAATTCGCGGCCACTATAAAGGGGATTATAGAAACTCCCGAATAGAATGAGAAAATACTTATTAGTCGTACTAAGTAGCCAAACTACATGAGCGTAGATTACATGTTCTCAGAATTCAACCTTATCATCTATCTTTATATCATGTAGAGTCTTAAGAAGAACAAACGATAACTTTTTTAGCTTGACAACGTGAAAAACCTAATCCAGTCAGCCATCAAATTCAGAGACCGTCAAATCCACAGCTGAGAAACCAGACATATTTCGTCATTGGGTGTATGGAAGTAATGATTCACGTACTGATGAGATTTGCTAGCTCACCAATTTCACGTTTCATACGAGCAAGGACGTTCTTGTCACTCATGCCTTGAATATTACTGAAAAAACGATTCAAATGGATAAGTTAAATCGAATGGTATGACATTTGCGCTGTAAACGGATGACGCTTTAGTACCACATGACCAAAAGTCTGTTCAGCTGCACTTGCCTGTCGTAGTTTTTGAAAAAAGTAATATTTGTATGGCGCACATTTTTCCAGAAAACAAACGCCATCACGTGCACAAACTTCAAGCATACTGCATCCACATAAAAGTTAATGTCAGCGGAGAAAAAATTAGAAATGACAAGGCGCAAATGCCAAATGTTAAACATTTAATTTAATGCAAATCGGTACCTCTTTAGACACAGTGATAAACTCATCACTGTTTCGAACAGTGTACGGTGATGATTGAAGCTGAAAATCACGCATAATGCTGCAGATTTTAGTCACGTCTACCTTCCTTCTTCCGCATCCACTACGTTCGAACCAAAATATGGGCATGGACAGCTGATACCGAGTTCAATGCTCTATTCAGACAAGCAGCAGGAACCAGATTTCTGTGAGGGAGTCTCGCGCTTCACGCAAGTTAGTGTTATGAAAAGACCAGCAAGGAAGAGCCTTTGCGGTCCGATTCTCAGCCCTGAGTAGGAGCGGGTTATGTCGCCAGTTGACGACCTTCAGGGCCCCGATTGCTCACGCGTCGGGATGGTTCGAAAGCACGTTTTTGAGCTGAAACTGTTTGTTGTATGCAAGGTAGCACGACCTTACTCAGTCTCTCACTCCGCTATGTCAGGGACAAATCGGAGCCAAGGCGACTTAAGATGAGGTGGGGTGCTCTCGCTGGCGTATGCCGCAGATTCACTCCAGGCGCACATATTGTCCTTAAGTACTGACTTTGGCAAACGCCATCTCATGATACTTGCATGTGTGATGGAGTGCTGCTGTAACCGTCGTCTTTGAGTGGATGTACATATAGCCGAGTAGGTCCCTGTGGTGTTGGAATGCGCAGGCTCAATGCAGAAAGGTAAGGCGGACTTGGAACATGCTGACCTAGTGACCATGGTATTGATTCTCCGATGGTGTTGAGATGGATTCGCAGGTGTCAGACCAGGTCAGTGTACGATGCTTGTGGATGTTGTCTGACAGGCAACGGTTTCTGAATTCAGTAGTGATTTCAGTGCCATTCGAGTAAGGGAGGAGCATAACCAGCAGTGAGTTTGTTACAGAAATTAAAGCAATTTAACTTAGAGTCCCGAGTAATCTGTAGGTTCTTCTAAACACTGGAACAGGAATCGAATCGGTGTATGCTTTAAAAATACTCGCAGTATGTCATTTATTACTCTAAATCAGTTATGCTCTGTGAACTCAGTTGAAGTGTTTAAAATTCTGTCAGCCCTTCCTAAAAAGAGTAATGGTATTAAGTTCAACAATTTCATCCGCCAAGACAAGTTTCCAGAATTTTTTTCTCCATCATGCTCAGCATCAGGATGGAGCATTAGAGATCAAAAAAGAACCGGCAGATGGTGCCACGGAAAGGTTGATTACCAACCAGTGCATACATCAGTGTGAAGCCAGATCCGACGACATTCCATTCATTGATGAGATGGATAAGAAGTCCATACAACGAGGAAGTGAAATGAACATAAAGTGGTTCATGCACAGAAGTACGTGCAATCCTACATCTTTTTCCTTTTGTGAGTTAAACAATCAAGTCGCATAGCATATCCTTGAGTCAGTCATCGCGATATTGTGCGTACTCGGTTATCATTAGCCTTTCTTCTCCGAAACAGTCTTGCAATTTTGACATTATTATTAATCGGGCGCCGACGCCCGCTTTATGTTTCCATCCTCATCTTTTTATTCCTCTGCTTATGGCTCATCGCGATAAAAATAGAATTCCAGATAATGCCCCACAGACGCAGGCCTGGTTCCAGCGAGTTTTTGCTATTCAACTTTCAATGAATGCAAAAATTCCCATGCTGCCCTTAAAAGGGCAAGTTGGGAAGCACACTTTCTTGATAATTCATAATCGGGCCGATATGGTTACATAGAAGTTGGAAAATATGAGACGTTCACAGGGTTTATAAGTGCCTCAGGGATTATTAACACTCGTCGTTCCCACACCACCCACATGAAGAGGTCGGCGTCTTATGGTCATTGGGCAACGGGGAGGGGTGACATCGACTGTGAGTGATGTTTGTAAGTTGGCACGTGAAGTGTCCATCACTGTCATCAGGAGGTTAGGAAAGCGTGCGATAAACATCTGGGGTCGGCGTTGACCACGGAAGACAGAGCGCCTGCGGGGACATCTTCTGACAGCATAGCACTCGATTCGCTGGCCTTATAGTCACTGCCTCAGCTGTAGCTACGAATTCTTGAAGGATTTAAGCAAGAGTCTTTAGAGGTTATGGACCATCTTTTATTTTCGAAAATTAGTGTTCGTAACAACGATTCTGTAGCAGCGGGGCAAAAATATGCCCAAGCATGGGGGCAGACTGGGCAAATTGAAGTCAAGAGTTGTCACAGGACAGGCCAGCTGATAGGAATATGCAGAAGGATTTGTCACGTCTTTTGAAACTGAAATGTCATAACCGTCGTCAGTGAGCCTGTCCTTGACGTGTCATAATACATGACATTCCCCGAACGTGTACTCAGTTACCTTGATGTATTTGATATGTGGTGTACGAGGCAGATATCGCCAGCAACGGCTATATTTGGCGAAGCAGTATAAGGTCCCATGTTTCTGACTGTATTGTAGAGGGACGGCTACGACTGAGAAGTTCAAAGTGCAAGAACTTTAATGCTGGGATAGGCAAAAGCTTCGAGGAAAACATACCCTAAACTCCATAACTCTCACATAAGCAAAAAATTGCCACAAATGTCCTTTTTAAATAGAGCGGGCAAGCTTAGTAATGCCCTTCAAGCCTACCCTCCCAACCTTGAACAATAAATTTTCAGCTATCAGGCTATCACAACTTTAATATTAGCCAGCCATGTCTCTGAGCACATATATTTATCCGGTTTTGTGGAGCAGACCACGTCGCTTGAACGACGTAAGGCAGTTAGAGATCTCCTGCAGCATTACACAACAACAAGTCCCGATTTTGTGTTTAATATCTAATTGAGATCATTCATCAGGTCAACATAACTAAGTCCGTTCTTCTTATGAACATTCGACAAAAGATGTGAAGAAAAGTGATAACTGGTTCTACCAGTGGCACGAAAAGTATCGAGTTATCTACGAGGCTCTATCTTATGCTGTCAAAAGTTCCAAGTAAGACACTGAAAGTGCTGTGGCCCAAATAGGTTGCGTTTTACTGCAAACTTTCGGTCGCACTTAGGCTAAGCATGAAATACCTGGTATTCCGGTTATCTTATTACCGATAACCGTTGAACATATCTGACAGTAAATCACCGAACGCTTCATCGAACTGTCGTTACAAAGTACGCATGGGAGCCTTTTTACATCGAAACTATGCCGCTCAAATAGTGAACCGCAATTTAGGTTTTCTTCAAGAGAGAAACTGCCAAAAGTCCAAAAGTCCTGTGTTCTTGAATAAGGTAGAGTATACAGTTGGTGTTCTTTAAAGATGCATAATTTCACTCGTTTGGAGGCCAGGCACAGTTCTTGGATATCGGGGAGTGCGAAGGATATAGCTGAATAACCGGAAAAGGAATTTTATTGAAATGCAAGAGTGGGTTGCTCCCCCAGGTCCTGTTCACGGCGGAGTGCTTTTGAGAAAGAGGGGTTTGCGCCGAAAGTACCGAAAATTCAGCCTGGTGGCGAATATTAAGGTTAACCGCAGAGCATAATAGTAGGGATGGACATTTGCTTGAACTAGAAGAAAGCAGCGATTTTGGGCCTTTGAAAGGAGCGAACGATAAGTCGGCGGTCATGTAAATAGTGGAAAGGGAATAGATTATAGGTTCAAAAGTAAGTGGAAAAATCCAACCAACTCTTTTGGTTTGACAGGGAAAGTGGAGAGGAGGAAGGGATGAAGAAGATGGGCTTGGACATCCCTTAAAACCCATAGTTCGTTGAAGATAGAAAAAAAACCATTGTTGGTAAGTGAGTCTTTTCTGCACCAACATATTCGGCCTCGTACTTTTGAGACTTCTGGCGTGACGCTGTTTCTTAATGTAAATATGGAAGTAGTACTGCAGTCTCAATATCCTATTCGTTAGTGGGTCTTCGAAATACTGCATAAGTGCCTGAAAGTTGAGTTTCAGCGCCACGGCTCATAAAGACGGATGTCTCGTTGGAGGTCCGCTATCAGTCGAGTTTTTTCAGCTAACTCCTTGCGCAGCCGTTGGATCTCCCGTCGTTGTTCAAGGAAAGCTTCGCGCAGCTATGGTGAACCAAAGTGTCGAAAAAAGGTTAATTATTAGCAAACAAGGATTCCTACACATCAAGAGTTTCAAATCTAAAATCCGAGGCAGTTTTCAAAGTGAATAAAACCAGCCAAGTCGCGAGTAGCCTGATAAATTGTTGTCAGATTTCTGGAAGACGTCTGATTCAATATATTATTCGATGAGAGAGCGAAAGGGCCCAACAAAAACCAAAAAGTAATTCAAGTAAGGCAATTTTGCGAGCCGGAGCAATTTGGCTGTCCAAACAAATGATGTTAATTTGAGGAGAAATTTATCACCGGGACAAAATAATTAAACTGCTCTGGTTTTGGAAAGTTTGGTCGGCTCCCAGTGTTAAGGCGCAAAATCGAACAGGAATTCGAACGACTTGTCGAGCAAAACGATCTTGAACTAATCAACTTTCTCCTTCCGCTGCCTCAGCCTTACAAATAATCGCATTGATCGGGGGCGATTTGGCATCTGCGGAGGTTGTTCGATATCGTGGTTCCTTGGCGTCCGCGTCCCTTGAATTTTATGCCGATCAGCAGTGGGTTTGTCACTGCATCGAAACAAACTATTTGGTTGAAAGCGTCAGATAAACGGAAAGTTGCCTCTTCTCGCAGTTTCAGAGGGCCAGCTGAACTTCCTGCCCCTCACAGCTCTCACTGATTCCATGTTTTCCCCGCGAAATAGGAAAGTTGTAGAGAAAAGCTGGTGACGTATTTTTGGAACATACGATAAATTCGCCTTTGTTGCAATAAAAACTTCACTCTCAGATAGATGAACAGAGCATACATTTTCATATGGGTTAAGGGAATGTGAATATTCAAAACATTTCTTAAATTATTTGGTCTTTTTACTGCGTTCGTCTGACAGAAAAACAAACAAAATGGACACTCTGCCCGTCCCAGTCGAGGGGCATGCTCTGGTGGGGGATTATGCACATAGGAAATTTATTTGATTTTGATGTCCCCATAACTGAACCTGGATGCGTGAGCTACGGTACTTCTTAGTCATAAACTGCGGGTTATTTTAAGCCCAACAGGAAATAAAATAGCTTTGGTGGGAAGGAGTGATCACTTGTCGGCCAAAAATAAAGAGCAAATCAAGCAAAAGCCCGCGGTGTATTGACATATCTATCTGCTGCCCGCGTGAACTGACCTACAGAACGGCTTAAGGAGTCGCAGAAACCGTCTTTCTCTCTATGGCCTCGCAAGTGTTTCCGATTTCTTGTCACTGACGGAAAAATCTTAATAGTTTTCAACTTACCCCTGGGGGATTTGTGCCCCCTTTACCTAAATGAAGAACACGACCGTTCTGTTGCGAAATTAATTGACACCTTTCTGACTATGAGAGAGCGAGTACAGTAACTTGTAGTGACACTTTTAGGTTTGTAAAGTGAGATGCTCTTCGTATGCAGGCGTCTTACAGGAAGTCACGAAGTTCAAGAGGTCGACATATTGGAATTAGAGCCTGTGTTTTTATTATATATACATTGAACGGTAGCTTCATCAACAATACCTACCTTCTGGTAGTCTAGAGGTAGATTGCTGAGCAGATCAGCCTTTCTTGCACCAAAAGGAGTCTGCGAACAGAAAGTCGTTGACTTCATTGTCAGCCGATTTGGCGACGGATAGTTCATGCACAAGACTCAGACGAGCGGGACCTGCAGAAGAATGCAACTGCAACCGGCATGCTTTGTGCACATAAAACGCAAATTGTTTCGAACAATGTAAAAAACAGCCTAATTGATCCCATGCTGCCTATTGAATTATTACGATTGTGTGTTGTTGACCATGGCTCATTACACGCCATGCCGGTCATCTATGGCGGAGAAAGTTGCGGTGATGGGCCAAGTTTTTGTGTGCCATAGGTGTGCGTTCGCAGATATACTCGGATCGCGGGAAGGAAAACAAGTGAATTTCTATTTGAAGTCTTAGAGAGGGCACACAGCAGCAAACGCTGTTTCACCAAGTAGCTCTACTGACAGAGAAAACAGAGTATGGGATGAGCATTTCCGGTTTATGTTTCGTCATCATACCGGCATACTCCAATCGCAGACTGACGCTAAGATGATACGCGTAATGGCTCGTATTTGATTCCTCAAGCCAAATAGAACAGTGCACATCACTTGCATGTGACTCTGAATATGTCCCATTTCGGTCAAGAGGACACGGACCCGTAACTCACATGATGAGGCGGCTAAATTAAAAATTTTCCATTTTCAGCTTACAAGAACAGGTCGAATTTCCGATTTTGAGGAACAAACCATAAATGGCAATTCAAGTCTTCTTTTGCACTGTTTGTAACCTTTTATTTTATCGAACTTAATATTGTAGTGTAATGCATGAAAACTGCTGGTAGCAAAAAACTGTGACCTTTTGGCCGCTTTGACTGTGCATGAACAAACTGTGATAAAATGTGAAAATTGCTCTGATTTGCACATGCATATTAGAACAGACGCACTAGACGCATATGACGACGCCTTCCTTGCCTGCAACCACATCTTGTCAGTGGGAGACTTGCATAACATTTGTTTCTTGACTGACAGACAGCTAGTGTGATTGACTGGTTATTAGTTACAGCCAAGCCTCGGCTTGCAAAACTTCCTTCTAGATGTGGTGTTAGCCGTGCTCAAATGGATTAGTTTCTTGTGCTTATGGGGTGAAGTTCACGACAGTTCTTGCGCAGTCACATATTTTAAAGTCTAAGCCTTTGTTTTGTCTACTTACTTCAACTTCTGGCTGAATCACAGAGGTTAGAGTATTACGGCGCCTTAGAGGACACGACTCTGATAGTTTTCAACCCAGGGAACAAATGATTCCACTGACTCAGGCCTACCGGCAGTTCTTCGTTCGGAATGTGGGCGGACAACCTGTGGGCTGCCAACCTACATGGTAGGTGAGAATCTCATCTACAAAAGCATGCAGATATTGGATGGATGTTTCAGCCTGTGTTCGGCAGTTGTGACTGATGAATAATATGAAAATGGAATTGGCTTTCCCATGAAGGCAGTTGTTGGCCAAGTTTCAAAAGATACATCTCAACCTCCGCCATCATAGTTTAGGTCTTCTAGGTAAGCCAGATTAAATTTGTGAAATTGCGGCGAATGCTGCGACAGGTTTTTAGTATAAATCAGGTTTACAAAAAATTAGTGTCCCTCATCGGACTCCATGAGGTGCTACCTTGTTTGACGAGGTTCGGGCTGCAGTGAGCATGCGAGGGTATGTCTTATGAGTGAGTGTTTTCACCATTGTAGATTTCTGACTCAATTTAGAGACTCGGCTCCATAGAAAGTATCATGGATAATCCAGACACGTGCGCGTACTCTTCCGCGGTTTTAATTTAGTTTCTTTGGGCACCCGGCCTTCATCTGTGACTTCGCGATTCTGCGTTATGTGCAACGACTGCGGCACGGTGTTTGCAATTTGATTCGGGGACTGTTCTGAAAATGCTTCCTCTCAGATTCGCTCAGTCCAGACGATGTAAAAGCAGGATTTCTGACGGTCGCGAAGGCGAACATTTTCTTATCCAAAGTACAGAGAGCAGTAATTCACTGAGACAGTTCCAGTGCGATGGAGTTGGGAATAGAGGGCGTGAGTACTATATTGTGTAACATCTCCTAGCCCCAGTCCAATCCTTGCACAAATCGGCTTTTTGCTGAAGAAGAAAGCCATCGACCTCCGTGGGCGGAGTAGGACGCTTTATGTCAATATGACAGCTACTAACTGCGAACACCTTGCAGGCACTATGAATGACAACATTTGGCGTTTGATTCGCAGTATGAAAGCTATAATGGTCCCGAACAGACGGATTAGGTCCTAATTTTAATCATTGTCTTAGACTCAGGTCCCACTACTTTGTCGGGAGAGCTAGGTGGTGTTTCCAGAGCAGCGGGCAAATTTGCATATGCCTTACGAAGTGCGTGTTCTATTTCTGAGCAATTAACGTCAGAGAAACTTTCACAAAAACAGGTAAATGAGCAGAGGGGATGAAAAGTAGGTGAGCAAACATTGCAATTACAAGTGCATTCGTAGGGCAGATAGAGCTGGTAACGAACTCATGCTGAACGTTCGCGCCCCCAGAAGGGGCAAAGGTGTGCAGCATGCGCGCATATGCGCTTACAGCATTCGCAGACAACAAGCGGGAATCCTGTTCCACGGTGCTGTCGGCCCTCCGAGGAAGGAAACTGGAATTGGGCTGTGCAAAGTGAAAGAAGTCGAAACCGCTGAATGTGTACATAGCAAGATGTTAAGACTGTAGAAGCCAGCAAAAGTAAATATAACGTTTCAGCCATCCGCAATCGAGACTACGCAGCTTGGTGCGACTCTTTGGATGGTTGAGAGAACAAGCGGTAATTTAGTGAAAAGGGGAATGACGTGGGGTTAATTTTCTTGACATTATGAAAGAATTCAGATTGACCCAACTGTGGAAAACTCGGCGTCTTGGTGGGATTCGAAGCCACGATAGCAAGGGGAAGGCTTTAGTACAGCCAGCGCTCTAACTACCTGAGCTATGAGGCCCCGCCTGGTCTGCCTGTCCTGCTTGGACAGTCAACTTACTGTATCCGATTTGGTGGATTCTAGACGTTGCAGTAGGTTGGGCGGGTAACTTGACCCAAATGTGATTAAACGCGCGTCGTCCGGCAGGGCCTCGTAGCTCAGGTGGTTAGAGCGTTGGCTGTACTAAAGCCTTCCCCCTTACTGCGTGGGTTCGAATCCCACCGAGGCGCCGAGGTTTTCACAGTTAGGTCAATATGACTTATTCACAATCTTTCAAAACATCTATGAATGTGCAAGAAGAAATGGCAGTCCTTTGGGTTAAGAGGTTGGTAGCGCTGGCGATGGCCACATTTCAGGGGGAGGTGGGCACGGAGGGACAGCAGGTCGACCTGCTTGACATTTTACCGAATGTTTTGCTAGTCAATGCGTTGGAATATTGAAAAAACTGGGAGATTTTATCTGCGTCACCTTTGTTGCCATCCCACATTCAAGTCAGCCCCCATCTATGGTTGGCAGTTTAGTCACGATCATCATCTAGGGGGAATGCAGCATGGACGCAGTGGCCAGAACGGCCAATACCAGGTGTCCAGGCTTGAACAAAGTAATCGACGTCAGAAAGTTCCTTTGTTGTGACTGTTTTGCTGGATCGGAGGGCATGCAGGCCTCAGCGAACGCGCACCGCTAAGTAATGCAGCACACAAGGTTCTGCACACAATAGACTCCCCATACCCCTCTATCCCTGGATGAAACGTGGTCTGTTTTGTGGTAGTTACTACACGCCAGATACCTGAGCTGTTGCCCCATCAGTGACGCCCCCTTTTCCTTTTATTTGCCGGACCCCTTTTTGGCAAACGCGAACTCACATTCCACAAATCAGTTAACAAATTCGGAATAATTTATGTTTGTTAATCCGTCGTAATGACCAGAGGGATTAGTGTAGACAGATCAGTACAATGTTGGTAAATCGTAGGAGTTCAGGCAAGCAGATAAGAGAGGCCAAGGTAGAGGATGAATCTCAAGGGCGCATTGATAGGTAAACGTTTGGCTGAGGACGAGGTCAGGAAGCAAGGAAAGCCGCTTAAAACTCTTCTTAGTTTGTTGTTGTAAGATCCCGATGCAGGCAAATGGATAACAGATACAGTCGTTCCCGGAATCTCTATAATTTTTGCAAATAAACGTAGCATCTCCAGTATATTCTAATTGCGTAGGTAACTTCCTATGCAGAACGTTGTTGATTATGCAAAAAAGGCGTTTCCAGAGGCACATGGATATATATTCTAGCAAGTAGACGTGAAGTTGACACTCGAAGGCATCGAGATAAATGAAGAAAGGAAAAAATCGAGTAAAACTTCACTTTCTGTCATGGTTCCGAGTATCTGCAAACGATTCCGTTGATTTAATATTTTTTTGATACAGATGAATCCATGAGGGCAACAGTAGGCTAAAAGACCCCAACTAGCTGTCGGTAGCCTGTGGATCGTGTCATACGGGCTTGGCGGTAATACTTTCCAGAGTTTAAAAGAAGACGAAGGCACGATCACTAGGGCGGTAGCTTTATTGGTCTTAGCCTTCGAACTCGAATAGGAGTTCATCATCAGAGAATGCTAGAGTGCAGTAACGTGGGAACATCTATGCCGTTGTGCCGTGAGGGGGAGGGGGAATTACGTCCGTGGCTAGATCTGGTTTGTGCTGTCTGGCCCACACTGGTCTCCCGGCGTGCTGACGGCGTTTGTACTTCGCGGCGATGTGAGCTGCGCCACTTGGCTGCGAGGGCGGAGCGCGTGATAACACGCAGGCAAATCAATGTGTCCAGTGATAGATTTGGTGTCCGACATCCACACTGCCAACAGTTCTCGCCCCGTCTTGTTGCCGGCTCACGCCAATATCCGCGTGTTGGCGAAGTCGAACTCATGGCCTCCCTCCAGCATGTGAGTGGCGACTTGAGATAGTGAGTCGCCTCTACGAACGGCCCGTTTGTGGTCAAGTATTCGTGAGCTGAGGCGTCGTCCTGCTTGGCCTGTGTAGTGGTAGAGTCTTCTGCTTGCTGGGATCATTCCACGTTGCGACTGATTAAGTAAACAAAGTACTCCCCTTTGGACACAGACTCCACGAATCCACAAACTATGACATATCCAACTGTCTGACCAGAAGACTGCGACGCACCTCATTTCGCACGTGTCTACAGGCCAGAAAGACGCCTGTAGGCGAAGGAATAATCGTTGGAACACGATCGCTCGTCTTTAATAGGGCCCGCAGGCGTCTACACTCATCAGTACACTGATCAGTAGTCATCCCACTAACAACAAAGAGGAAAAGAAACGTCAGCAAGCTGAAATGGGTCCCGACTAACGTTGTCATCTGCCTTGCCCAGGGAGATGCCTGAAGGCTCCTGATAGTGAATTTCGACTCTGATAGGGCTTGCAAGCATCTTTACTCGCCAATACACTATCAGTTCACGGCTCAACGTGCTGTCCCACTCGTGAGACCCTCATTACCACCAGTCCCGACAGGTAGTTGCGGTCCTTCATCCTACCGTTGCCTCCATGAGAGGCATTTTATACTAAATAACAGTGTTCAGTCTGTGGCACTCGTCGTGCCGAGAAAGTCGCACTATGATTCAACGTAGTTTTGAAACAGCGTGAGCATCAAATGTGTTTTAAGAATAACTCCCATAGTCAGCGCGTCAAATCAGCATCTAATAATTTTCGTGAAGTAAGAGCTTTAATACCCCTACTTTATACACGACGTGCAAGTATCTTTGATACGGAAAAATGAATATTTTTCTATCCCGAGCAGGTCAAAAAAGTTTACTTCAATTTTTTTGAAGTAAACTAGATCAGCAAAGTCTACAATTTTTGAATTTAGTTTGAGTCATGCATAAAGCCTTATTCCGTTATTTTGAAGGAATTTAACTCAGCCAATTTTGTTAGAAATCCAATAAAACTCTTAATAACAATGGTAATTGGGCAGCGTGATGTCAGCGCTGGTTGTGCGACTAATATTCACTCCCAGTTGGATAAGTAAAACGCCCTGTTCTGCCTAGATGTCGATTAGCAGCCGATCCGATTTAACGTATTCATAAGTCACAGTCGATTCCTCTCCTGAAACAAATATTTGCCACAACCACCTTATTTTTAGTCGTCTTACACACGCCTACACAAAAACGCCCGTAGTTTCTTAACTTATCGAGTTGACAAAGCTTCACTTACGGGATTGGGGACGGTTGGATTATCGTAGTCATCATTCTGCGCGTTCATGTGCGAATACTGGCACGCATTCATCGCATCGGAAGCAGCCTGACGTCCCGACTGGAGGTAGGACTGGGAAAACGAACGCCGTTGAACACTGTCTTGAGGTTCGTATTGTGTCGTAGTTCGATCGCAGGCTCGTGACTTGTGGCCGGAGGGCGACGGCTGAGAGTTGCCTACGGTGACGACGTTGGCTGAGTGGCCAGGCTGTCGGGGTAGGCTTGCGCTGTTACAGTTCTTCTGTGTCATCTCCTCAACCTGACGAATGATCTCTCGCACCGAGGGAAGCGTCTGAAAATCCTCTTCTTCACCCTGAAATGCAACAGGCTTGTCTAAAATCGAAAGCAAATGTTTGCTCTCTACGTACTCCTTAAAATTCGGATATTAGTCTTCTCTCTGTCTCTGAATCCTTCACTAGTCCGCCGAATGCTCCTCTTTCGAGATCACAAACTTTTCCCGAGACTATAAATTCTTCCAAAGCTTTAACAAATGGTTATGTTCTGAAATACATCAGTGGCCGTTATATGGTTCTTTGGAGCTCCTCCAGATTGAGCTACTTTCAACTTACTCATGGACCTTTCCTTATTCCACCTCAGACTTGATTATATCCTTTCCTATAGTGCTTTGAATTGGTAGTTCATTCGGACTAATTGTTAACCAAAGAGGAGACATTCGCCAATTTAAGGCCAGTTTTCTGTAAATTTAGTGTAAACACACCTGCGCAAACAGTAGTCCTAGGAATCATACTGCATCTGACTCACGAAATGTTAGCCGAATTTCCGGAATGTCTTTTCGATTATAACGGTTTATGCAGGCGTGATTGTACGATTAGTGTTTGTGGAACATCATCTTAAGTCAGACCAGGATGTCGACTTTAGAATGAACCTGCAAGAATCACTTTCAACGAAAACTGATTACTTATTCGACACGACTTGTTCCCATTGATCTTTGTTGCCTTTATAACCTTAAGTAAATTTTAGAGTAAACGTGCAAAAATACGTTCGTTATTTTACGCATTTGACGCCATGTGCTTATGCTTGAATAAAGTGTAGATTTCGGTTTAAAATGGCTCCTATTATGATATTTTATAAAACCGTGAAATGTTCATTCACGCAGAAGCATATCTGTTCGCTGCTTATATAGTTTACAACATAGTCTGCATTCGCTGCGAAATGTTATGATCTATACATGAACTCTTCTCAGTGGCTCAGCGAAATTCACGATCTTCTTTACACAGAAAGCATACAGCAAGTAGTTTTCCTACCCTAAGCGCAAGTGTAGCTGCAGGTCCGGTCCATAATTATTCGTTAATTGAAAAGCTTTTAAAAATTTAAAGATACCCATTTTAAAGAACAAAACTGAGAGAAACGTTTTCGTACATGTTTTTCTTATAAATATGTTTGAGTGTATTATGGAATCGCAAATCACCGGGAAAATTCTTGCTATTGAAATAATCGCTTTTTATGAATTTGATTCATACAGGTGGCCAGAGAGAAGCTCATTCGAAGCCGGCAGTCTGACCCGCTTGTGATATCAGGGGATTGTATTGCACAATGCTCTATTTTACAGCCCCAGTTAAGTGACCCTTTGTGGTCGAAAACACCGTTGAGAATTTTGATTAGCAGTTCATGAGATAGGTCAGGTACTGCACCATGATCTACTACATAGCCAACGGACGTCGACAAATATACTTCTCAGAATATCAGAAAAAAAACGTTGCGCCCAAGGATTTTTCCCAATCGCAGATTATTAAGGGCCGAGAGTGACAACGGTCTCACCTTCCTTATGACTAACAATGCTCAACGTTTTGGTTTGCAAAACACATTTCCCTAGGAGACTAGCCAATGAAGAAGATAAGATGTGTACTGGGAGTGAAAAAAGAAGTGTAATTTGACTGCGTGGTTGGTATCTACCTGAAGCTCATCTACATTGGATGAGACAAATCGGGCCCTGTCGGTCCTCGGTGGTGATGACTGTGTTCGATTTAACGCCGTCGTCGTCGGAACAATGGTCCGTTGCGAGCGTACGCGATCATCTGAATAGCCTTGGTCGGATGACTTGAAGGTTTGTCGGGGACTGTGCGCCGGGCTCACTGAGGGACTCGCCTGCGCACTGCGGCTCCTGACCTGGATTTTCACGGTCCCAGCCTTCCGTCCAGACGCAGAGTACTGCGGCTAAAATGTGGTCAGGGAATATAGAAGGCACCATTTAAAATCGACACTAAAAGAAATTGAAAATTGGTAATTTATAGGGGATTTTTGTCATATTTTACAACTGGCTAGAAGGAGTCATATCGTTGAGGGGTCAAATGATGATAGTGTGAAAATGACCTCTAGGTGTTTGGTGACATTCACTGTACTCCGTGTTTTGCGTAAAATACCCCCTAATCTGTGTTACGCTGTCAGATTTTCATGGCGGCCTCCTCGTTAACTGACAACCATAGGGAAGGAAATAATGATATTTATTGTGTAGATCTTTGGAAAACAAGTCCTTACGGTATGAACTTTGGTTTTTTTAGACACATTTCATAGATATAAATCTCGGTGGTTTTACGATTTTCAACAAAGTTAATTGGTAAAGGAGCAGATGTCTGTTTCGCCTCTGTTTGTTCTGCTGACTGACACAGTTACTAGGACTTCGGTCGTGTGGGTTTCATATAAATATGTAGCTACTAATTTCTCAACTTGTGAAGAACGTGATTTACAGGCAAGTGTCCAAGATATGACTTTTAAGGACAACCCTGAAATAATTATGAAAGTTTGAATCGAAGACAAAAGTATCCTGCAAAATGACCGCATTGCGCCCGTTCAGTATGAGGAGTTGAACCCCCGGCAAATGAGTCATGCACTAGCGGAGACATCGAAAGGCATGTTCTCGGGGTTTCACCTAGTACCTATCTTTGGAGTACGATACTTCAATCGTCAGCGAGGGCCGTAAACCGGCCCTTGATAAGAGAATGTGCCTTTCAAATGGACGAAAACGTCTTTCCGATATATACTACTCGAACTACTTTACAGGCTTACAGTCCATCGGATTAACAGAAAACCTGCGATAGACAGATTTTTCGCAATCCAAAATAGTACTGTAGCAATCTTAAGGAATTATAACCATTTTCCGGTACAATAATACGAAGAAAAGACGGTAGTACTGACCCTAAAAACAGACAAAAACACAATAGTTCCCCTTGAAGACAAATTGCATTCAGTTGCGACTTTGAGCAGCGGGGACCATATTGAAAAGTTCAAGCTATAAACCGCCTACCACGAACCATACCGAGGCATATAATTCATCCGTTGATAAGGACATGAAACGTCTTATATGAAATAAGCAACGACTGGACACGAGAATAAATACACCTGTACTACGGGTGGCATGCGTTAAATCAGAGAGCCATGTTTATTTCCGTTATCTAACACCAACTCTAACCCCCCTAACTCCAATTATAGCGCTAACCTTAACTCTACCCACCTTGGCCATTTGTAATACAACGGGCACTCACCGTGTCCTACCAAAGCAACCGTCAGGAGATACTGTCAAGTTCTAAAGCAAGCTGAACTGATCATCGCTAAGATGTATGAACTTCCCAAAGCCCATACAACTGACTTTTGACTGCGACAGATTGCATCCTAAACCGATGCACCTAACTATACAATTTCTAAGTAGTTTTTCCATTAGCTCCACCCACTTAAGAAGAATTGTGGAGCTTCAGTTAGGAACTCTGCAAAGTTTCTGGATCACAGCTTCGGCTGATAAGACAACGATTTCCTTCGACGTTGGCCCACCATTTACGTCAATATCGTTAGTTTTGTCAAAACGTTGCACGATAGAACTCATGCAGTTATATTTTGCGGATATTTTTGCAAGGGACCTATGTCTAAAAATCAACTTTCCATTCTACGGAGGTCACAGTGCAGAAACTAGAACCTATAGCTTTTCCGTTAACTGACCATAAATTGCGGTATGTAAACGAAAGATTTGTTGTGGTTAAAAAATCGACTAGAAACACTTCACAACAGTATCAACTCCACATTTCCGACAATTAACTTCACACCCGAAAAAGAATCTGACGAAAAAACTACTTACATTGAGTGACCGATCTCACGAAATGTTGGCAAAATTTCTGAAATGCATTTTTGATTGGGAAGGATTACTTAGGCGCGTTGTAACAGTGATTACCTTGCGACATAATCCTATAATATTCCGGACTCGGCAGAATGTCAGCTTTTAAATTCACTGCTTTTTAATTGCCTGTAGAAGCCAAAGTCGGTAAAAAGTGACTACTTAAGTAGCGGCCATTTTTCACATTTAATATCGATGGCCTTTCAAATTCAAACATATTTTATAGAAATCACTAACAAAATATGCTTTTTAAGTCGTTTGATAGAGAATCACACCATCGTTATATTTTATACCCGAAGAAGGAGTATAATTAGGTTTTTTTAAAGAGTTTTCTGATTCCCGGATAATTTGGAGCCTGATCAGTCGTTGCCTTAGCGCCTAGTGATTTCAGTCTGCGTAACACATGTGTTCCGCGGAAAGAAAATCATATATTCTTCTATGCCTTTAAAAAGATGCCATACAGAGTCCGTGAAATTTCGCAATGCATAGGGACTATGTTGTACATTTCATGAGGAGCAGTGGTGAACGGACAGGAACGATGCTGTTTGAACAGACGTTGCACGGTCTTAAAAAATTCCATAATGAAAAACCTTTTTTGAAACCTAATTATACTCCTTCTTCAAGTATAAATACGAAATTGACCTGGATCTCTATTAAGCGAGTGGACTAAAGTATATTTTTGTTCATGCTTTTCATAAAATATATTTGAATTCATAAGGTCATCGAAAGCAAATGTGCAGTTAACTTGTCCTTTCTTACCAAGTGCGGTTTCTATAGGAGGTTAAAAGGCAGTGTATCCAAAAGCGACATCCTAGCAAGCCCCAAATATTATAGGATTATGTCGTAAGATAATCAATGTTGCAACCACGCCTAGGTAATCCATCCCAACCGAAAACGCATTTGAGAATTTCAGTCAACATTTCATGAGATCTGTCACTCACTGTGCATATGTCCCTTTCAACGAAAAACTGATGAAAAATTACGCACACTCATTAACCGCAAAGAAGCTAGCGCAGAAGTCATTACACAATATGAGGACAGCCAGTTTGCCATTAAAAGACGGAGAGCTGTCAATAGACCGCTTAATAGAGTAAAGACACATCACTCTGACAAACTGAAAGATCCGCCTAGACTGTTTTCTCAAAATGGATATCCTAGGATTTTCTGCGCTACTGTATGGGACAACATGAGTAAAAAGATAAAGAAAAGGAACTATGTAGGCAGTTCCAATCAGGCGCCAAAACCAGCAGACTGGCGAACATTTGAAAGACACTCTAAGAAGAACAAAGTACAATTGACCCAAACTGACTCAACTTCGCGCCCAGTGTGTAAGCCTATGGATTAGCTTCGTTATCTAGAGATATTGTCAAGTCCTAAAGCAAACTAAATCCAAGTGTCTATGAAACTGACTTCTCACTGCGCCGGATAATATTCACAATTGTCCGTAAGATTCCATCCTGCAAAAGAACTGGAAAATTGGCATCAACCCGAAGATATGAGCATCAGTTTTCGCTGGAGCAGCAGGACTACCTGCCTCAAGTCGCCTCGAATACGCTGAAAGCTGAGCACACCTTGGCATGAGAGAAGATTCGAGGTCATGCACTACAGCGACTCCTGCACTATCGACACATCGGATGAAATGTCGTTCAAAAAATCCCTGAAAATGGAATGAATGACAGCCAACCAAACCGCAATGGCAATCTATAGCAATTGCTCAATGCCAGAAATTACAGGCAACTACTGATATCTTCAGGTATGTTTAATATTTTAGCTGTTAGAGGACGGTCCGGGGATCCAGCATCGCAAATGTAAGAAATAACTTTCGTTGCCTTTCTCAAAACTCATTTCACAACAACTTACATTTATTGGAATGCCTGTCATTTAATTTACACCTATACGCATATAGGCATAAATATAGACACCTGGTGTTGAGGTAGAAGGAGAAGATATTACGATCTCGGGAGCGGCTGCCAACTGAACACACGTCAGGATTTATTTACCGTGTTCGCTCTTTAGTTTGTCTGGCAAACGACTGCGGCATAACTGACAAATAACCTAGAACGCGCATGCATGATCATGCTCTCGTTGCCAAGCGGGAAGATGTACGATCGAAAGTTTGCTATGCACAGTCTGGAAGGTAGTCATCAGTGCGTCTTTAACAGTGTCCAAGTACTCGGCCGAGTTGAAAACAAACTGGCGACAGAAATAGTCGAAGCTTGGCAGTTTGATGTCAAGCCGATCGACCGTAGCTTAGACCTACCAGCGAGATAAGAGGACGAGAAGCACCATCTGAGCATGAAGAGAGGGCCAATGAGAAGGGATGATGGTGGGCCTATTAGGATTTAGTAAGAAAGGCCTATTCAAGCCATGTATTCTCACGTTTGTCAGTCTCCGATGATGCGCTCGAGTACGAGTGCGACAGGTCAAATGAATAAACCATTCCCCTCCACAGATCGCCTTACCGTCCCCTTCTGTATGAATATATAGGATACCTATTTCTCGATATACATGTCGTGAGAAGAGCGTTCGCTCATAAGATTACGGGATATCCGCGGTCGGCTGACAACGGTTGCGCTTTTTAGCTTTATTGTGACTGGTGAACCAATCGAATGGTAACTTTTTGTCCGTCCTAGGTTCTGAAAAGTGCGGTCTTTCCATAGGAACCCCGGTAGGACGTTTCTGATAGCAATCAACGAGAGCTAACTACCCAAATTGGTAAGTTTACAAGCCTACAAACAAAATGAATTGAATTGTTAGCCATTTGCAATATTTGTATTGTTTTAAACTGCCCTTTTGCGGACACAGGCTCACCTGGGCTCTTTCCGTTAGGTATATTTTATCCAGGGTGTTGTCGGAAGGGTAGCGCTTTTGTGTTGCAGTACTGTTGCCGTAAAGACTTTGAAGCCGTCGGAAACTCGGTCCTAAAATAGGATACAGGTAATGATGACAGTTAACGGCTCTAAAGCACTTCTTATTACCTTTGTGTGGTTAACTACTTAAAAGAATATTTTTCCTGAACATATTAAATAGACTTGTAATAAGTGGATAAACCAGCGCTGTATGCGTCCTGGAATTGCAAAGACCCTTTCAAACTGATAGTTTTAAAAGTGGACTTTCGAAAATTTTGATCGAAATTGCAGTAAAATAATTCATCTTCAGCAGTCACCGGATCATAATGGACAGTATTTGCAGACACCTACTTATTTTAGTGAACTTCATATTCAGAAGGTATAGGCAATTATCTTAAAGTGTCCAAAGCAGCTACCCTCACGGAGGAGAATAGTAGAATCAGAACACAACTGCCGGACTGTCCTCCGTATATTTGTTTTTAACTTATAGGATCACAGAAGATGGATATGTTTTCTGATTTGTCAAAATTTGGCTTCCAGAGCGTGTAGTAATCGTAACGGACGGTTACATTGAAAAAGGCAACTTAAAAACCAGCTGAAACAATTCTTTATTATTGTCATGCGTGATAAGTCGCTTCTGATGGCACCTCTACAAATACGACCTTTCTTAATATTTTGTCTTCACCCGCGAGAGAAACGAGGAGGCACGAAGCAAAGAAAGCGAGGGTTATGGTGCGCGAGGAAGTTGAGAAACAGAATGCAAATAAAAATAAAAAGACCTCGGCATCGCAAGCTGAGTGCATACGATGTATTCAGGCAGCAAGGCATCCATCGACCCTGAACCGTATTCGTCATGTTTACTTGGTAAAGACCGAATTGGAACACAGCCAACCTAAAGAATCTACACCCCGCGTGCCATTTTTCGTGGGATGGAAGGAACAAGCAACGCTATAATATGGGCGTCTAAGACTTTCGAGGAAGTAGTCGGCTATAACCTGTCCGAAGTCATATAGTCTTGTTTAAACATTATAGTCGGAGTTTGCTCAGTAAATTGGTAGAAAAATCAGACGAATTAATTTCAGGTGGAACAGGAGAAGGAGTAACCATGTTTACAGTGAAATATTAATTACTTTGTTAGACGGTGACAGAAGTCCCAGGGAAGTAATCGGAGATTGGAAGATTGCCTGTCTCATGTGCGTTAGCTGGGTAACATCTTGAACAGCGAAATTTCCTTACATTCGTTAACTGCCCCCAACCATCCGCATTCATCCTTGTGGCTGACAGCTCAGGCGAATCAAGGTAACCTTTGCCGCACTAGGTAGTTGACGACAAACAATGAGGCCGAGAGCAAGAAGAAAAGTCGATCACCACTGGCAGAACTGCCAAGGTCTCGCAAGATTCAATTATCTTTTACTGGGCAGAGTGGCCCTGGCAATGGTTGATACACAGAGTTCGGTTTGGCACGGGCATTTGAACCCCATATTACGAGTGTCCTCGTCCTAAATTCGGGGGCTTTGTTTTAGGGGTTAGGAGGGTTGGGGCTAAGGTTAGGTCAGAGAAATGGGTACCCCTCTGGATTTTAGCGTGAGGCCACCCGTGGCGGTAGGGAACGTCCACATTCCCGTGGCCAACGCAGAGTCATGTGAAAATCCAAATAACATATTTGCTTCTAGTACTATCTTCCCTCCTCGCTGATTATAAACTTCAAATAGAGGTCCATACTTGTTTAAGAGGGTGCAAATGTACGAACAAGTACTGTTAAGCCGCCCAAGTTTTTGTATCACAAAATACCTAGATCCTGCTTAAAGTAAAAATTAAAGTATGCGCCAACTTGAAGGGGGTGGAAATATTCAGGTAAATGCAGAAGTGCAAATAGAACGACCATATGCATAGAGTATTTGAGGTTGAAAATTCTTAAAATTTTCATTCTATATGATTTTGGGAGATTTGAGTAACTCAGATGACCCAGGCCTGAAAAACTCGGTGGCCTCGGTGGGATTCGATCATAGGACGGCAATAGCAGACTTGAGCACAGCCAACGCCCTAACCACCTGAACTACGAGGCTCTGACCGGGAGCCGTAAGTTTAGTCACTTTTGGGTCAAGTGGACCGCCTAGCCTGCTGCCACCTATGAAATCCGCAAATTCCGACGGAGTAAGCGGACTGTCTAGACAGGATTTCTTAAGCAATCAGTATAGAATCCACCAGATGACTATCAGTTTCAAATAGATATTTTCGGCAGATTTGAATAATTCACTTGATCCGGTTGTGAAAAACTCGGCGGCCTCGATGGGATTTGAATCTGCGACGGTAACAGCAAGGCTTTACCACAGCCACATTTTAGCCCCCTGAAAGTTAATTCATCACAACGCATATTCTCAGACCTAATTACAATGGGCAGTAGTGAAAGTATGACATTCATTTGCCTCACCAACAGTCGCTCCAAGGGCTTTATTCAAGACATTCTTAAAAAGACACTTATTTTCAGCCACCAAAGTGCCAGCCGTATGTTTACAAAAATAGAACTACGTCTTTCAACACCGACGGTTAGCTCTGTGTGATGCCAGTCAAAAGACCTGACAATATGAGAGCACACTCGAATCGCTGGTAGCACATATAGGGCAATAATTCCCCTAGGGACGGAAGCTAAAAATTTACTGAATACGGCATCTGTCTATTAGTATTTTAATTCCAATGGCAGAACTTGATTAGAGGAACATCAGGATAGGAGGTGCAACCATTGTCTCGCAGGGAGTACAGGGATGGTGCACAAACGAAGTGGATGGGGTAGTCACGCGATCTTGCAGTCGTAGTAGCCTCCGAGGTCTAAGTTCTTTGTTGTAGTTGAGTCATTTGTAATAGAGGCCATGCAGATAATAATCTTATACAGCAATTATTTTTAAATGTTTCTGAATTCATTTGATCCAGTATCCAAAAGCATGATTTGAGGCCTCATACACTAACTGTGAAATTTTTGGCGCTGTTATTCGTAGCAATATATTCCACCAACAATTAACACATCCGGTTTTTATCGCTGGGTTTTATCCTGGAAGAAGCACGCAAATAAGCCATGCACACATACAACTAATTTTACACTTTGCATTCCAGGCATGCTTCTTGTGAAAGCAAATCGCTCAAAACAGCAGGAATGGTCGTTTCATGTCAACCCATATATTCCTTGTGAGTCAATACGGACAGCAGACAATTGGGACAAACGGCCCAAAATCTATATGCTTTAAATAGGGAAATATTCGTCAGACTACACGTCAGGGTCTACCCTGTTCCTGATTAATTATGTAGCAGGAGCGCCACCTATACCGGGCTATGCATACTGGACGGTTCCGTCACGGGGTCAGGCCAGGGTGTGACATGCGTTATTAGGCTGCGCACCCACATGGGGGAGCCTGTTACGGCACGCCTAGGCGCAGGTTGACGTCACGCCAATCAGCCTCACCCTATCCCACCTCTGATCTTCTGGACTTTATTTTGACGCAGGACCCAGGAGGATGAGGAAGAAGATGGAGCAGAAGTCTACTACCATCGCCCTACTCAGGCTCGCACAGTAGACACCGTCGGTAATAAAGGTCGCACTGTCGAGGTAGCTGGAGATACTCAAAGGGAAAACAGCTTCGGTCGATGAAGATAGAAAGGGCACTGTGACTTTTCAAAATCAAACATGTCATCGTGTCGCTAACAGTTGCGTCATTATCTGAATACACAGCAGTTTGTAATCTGCATTGTCGATTCTGCGTCATACTGCCGCATTTCGTTCTAGTCTGAAGCCTTAGATGACAAAGTTATTGTTGAGGTATTTTGCGCTTGTTTTACGAATTAGTATGAACATAACAGCATCGTATTACAACAAAAGTGCCTTGATGTCAGTTAAAAAGTATATAATTTACACAAAAAGTTCACGACCTCCTCATTCCAATCTTTCCTCAGCGCTTCTTCTTGGCCAACTAAATTTTTTTGCATAGGCCAGGAATGCAGAATATTTAGACAAGGTCAAGAAGCATGATTCTTTCAGTGGAAGCATTTGTAGGCAACGAAAGTTGTAACTAGTAGCTTAACACCTGTGGATGCTCTGAGAGTGTGTTGTCGCCAAATATACTTACCACTGTGACCTTGAATGCCATTGAAATAAGTCCGCTTGGTGGCAAGAGTGGCGTATGCTTTGGAGAAGACAAAATTCAACCGAGTTTGTTAAGACGCACTCACCGCACTAAGAAAATACAGCGAAGCTCGGACACCAAGCGGCTACTCTTGATTAGAGCTGCCATCAAGTTATTCAGTCGGCATGTAGTCCGTCAAATGCACCCATTTCCAGCACATTACGAAATGTTCTGTGTCTAAGTCCACGAAAGGCTTGTTTAGGACCGCTCATGTCCATGAGTGGTAGTCTAGGAGGGCAATTAGTCTTCGTCCAGAGGAAATTTTGGTCAAGAGAAAATATTGGTTGCTAACTAACATGCTTTCTGCGGCAACTAATATCCTTCCTTGTGTTAAACGGCACTTTTAGGGGGTTTCTGTATTTCTCCTAGTGAAGGCGGGGAGAAGGGTATTATCATTATGTTTTATCGACATTTCCCTCAAATAACATTATTTGTTACCTCCGCTTGTCATTTAGGTCGGACAGGAGAGAATTTGGCAGAAACTGGGAGCTGTTGGCGCGGATCGGAATAGACCACTTTCCGAAACACTGTCCAGAAGGTAAATAAACACACGTTCCGACATTTGCCCGTCATGACATTTCGCATGTGGACGCGCCAATTACAGCGATGGCCTGATGTCGACTGCACTGAGAGGAACCTAATAAGGGCTCGCAACTGCTGTTGCCGTCACACACTCACCTTGTCCTGAACTAGACCGTCTACAGTATCCTGACCCGCAACTAAATATTACCTGGTAGGGATCACGATGGCTGCTGCGAGGGGGTGAATAGGTAGAGACGGAGAGAGAAAAGTGTAGGTGGCAGTCAATGAGTCATCTTGTTGGCAGCTTGGCCGCATGCTGACAGCCTCCGCACATATAATTTTCCAAAAGCCACCATTTGGCTGGGTTATCATGGGTTATAGCAGCAGAGATTTGCCACCTAAAAACTATCTTTTCAAGACTCAAGCGAATGTAGTTCCCCGTTTTCAATTTTTGCAAACCTGCTTTTGGTCTAAAAGAGCCTTAGGAGGGTTAAAGGATTTTCCTATGGCCCTTAAATTGCCTGTTGTCGGTACACGAAAAGAATGTAAATTAAAGATATGTGACTTTGTTGTTTGCGCGCGGGAGAATCGTGTCGTGAGTCCAGTTCCACCTTAATAATCCCTAGTCCTTTCACTTATATATATATATATATATATATATATATATATATAAAGTTCTTCACAGACACCAGAAACCGCCACACATTTTCACGTTTTTTAGTCTGAATTTTTGGACTCCCCATTATTCACGACAGCAGACGACCGAGGAGCCGTCGCAAAATTTTTGATCAGTAAATTCTAGTTTAAAATTGTTAGGCTTTTTAGATTCATACCAAAATAAGTGCCAAAAGCATCTCAAGCAAAAGCTTTATTTGGGCCGGAAAGAAGTAGCAACAAAGACAAGAGAGACTGTAATGGCTGTTTTTGACTCATTAATTGCTATCAGCCAGTTATACCAACTTCAGGGTTGAAACGCTTGAGATTTGAACTGAGAACCTTCGCTCATTGAGTCCAACACTCTTAAACATTGAGCCCGCTGACCGTTTTCCTGTCCTTTGCGTTCAGGAATATTAATTATACTGGAATTACGCTCAACTATCTGGTCATGCGACATGCTCGTTCCGTCGTGCCTTGATGTTTGAGTGGATTTGTGATTTATAAGTCAGAAAATAGAGAACTCACACAGAGGATGAAATGTGAGGTGAACTGAAATCGTAAAACCGACCCGTCAGTATCTCGAAGGGTCTTTTTACCCTGGATGATCACAGTTACCAGCTTTCAAAGTTAGTCGATATTTTTATTTTGACTTGTGAAGGAAGACTATTTTCATTTTGAACGACTTGTTTGCTGGAATTACAAGACGCAGCTACCTTGTGTTGAATGTGAGCTGTTTAATTAGGTTTGAGATGGTGTTTAACGATTCCCCATACTGACAATCGATGCAGTGGACCAAGATTGCAGGCACATATTTCCCTGAATATATGCCGTCCCAAAGGACCCGACACATCAGTAGGTTACTCAGCGTTCCCATGAGTTTTTAATTTCCCCAGAAATCGCTTCTGGAAATTGGGATAAATTCTTCAAGATAGACATTTCCCGACTCAGTTTCTAAAGCGCACGGGGAACGCCGGGGACCGACTGAGGTACCGAACTCCAGGCAGCTGCGTAAAGCGGCAGAACAAAATCAGCGAAACACATGCCTGGGCTATCGACTAGCACGAGTGTTGTAAACATGGAAAACAATTGAAAATCTGGATATTACTGACCGCCAGATGGCAGCTTGTGAATATTACGTGGTTATTCTGCCGAATCTGCTCGTTCGTAGCTTATATATTTAATATAAACGCTCGGACCGAACCTGAAAGGCTTCGTGACAGAGAATTTACTCCAGACTCACGTATTTATTGGAAATGCATAAAATGAAATTTAACATGACTTTTTCTTTCTCATAAAATTTATCGATTGCATTAAAACAACTGTCGAATGTCGGATCCCAAAGGATTACACAGGGCTTTCCAGGCTGAGTGCGGAGAGGTCAAAATTCCCTTTATTGTGCTCCAGATATGTATTCTTGAATTTCTGATGGCTTTCAACCTTGTCGATAAAAATTGTGCGATAAGATTTTTCTGAACATTAGGGTGATATACATTTATATGCGTTGGTCTTCAGAGGTCCGTAGGCGGCAAGTCGGTGGTAACCTTTAAAATTAATTACATCAGATAAAGGGTTGGTTATTTTTCACCTTTGGACAATAACCGAGTCTTTTACAAGTGGGAAATCAGCAAACATTTTTAACCACCATCGAACCAACCAGCGCAATGAATCGATAAGGTCCTTTGCTAAAGTACAATTCATTTGTGTTTGCAACTGAATCGAATTAAAAAGTGCCAGAATTAATGAATTCCGTTCAAGTACCTACCTCCGCGCATTGCTGGATTGGAGGAATCCAGGGCTGCCGGCGGACGAACAGCCAATTCCAGGTTTGCCAGTCTTGCTGTTGAAGAAGAAGTACTGAGCTGCTGCTGGGTCCGCAGGGGCCTGTCGCGGTAGCCCTGCGACAGGTGGAAATTCAGGGATACACCGCCTCCCGTTGTTGGAAGGGACATTTCTGACTTGTGGTGGGGTAGGTAGGAGAGCGATATGGGCGTCACAGGTTGGTTACAGGCAACGTAGTCGACGTTTCGCAAAACGGGTCGTTTTCCAGCTTCTTGAGGTCCGCTATTTTCGACTCTGTAACGAAGTTCGTCCACAAAGGAACCGGGACTGGGTTGTCCACTAGACTTTGAGCCGCCATAACTGCAGCCAAGGGATGACTTGTCTGCTGTCGGGCTCGTGATGGCAGAGCTGTAATTTGAGCCCCGTGCACGCGAGGATCCAGCACATCCGTTCATCTTCTGTCTACTTCCGCGCACCGTACGAACTTCCCGGCTGACGATGTCAGGACTCTACAAGCATATAACAATCCAGCTGTTGTATGTTTGCATATGCCCTCGCAGGTGCGCTGACGCCACAAATGAGGAGCGGGACAATCGTGAAATTTAAGGGTGACGTCTAGGGCAAGTCGCAGAAACCTCGCTGTGTCTCTGTACACACCAGCGGAGTTGAAAAAGCCTTACGCATAAAGGTGTGGGCAGCGAAACTGCGAGGTGAAAAAGCGTGACAGGAAGTAGACGTGCCGCTTATTCGCCCTCCTCTGCCGTCATGTTTCGTGTGTGCGCCTGCTGTTGGCTCTGTCGGTGGACAGCAGCAATTCGTTGGTTTGGCACTCCCTGTTCACACCACGCACACACGTCGTAACGCGCAGGGCTCGCAAGCATGCCGTCTGCGCTCGGCGCAGGAGCTCCGCGAGGCGCGGTCACGCGCGCTGTCTACATCCTCGCGGCGAGCATTGATTCGTTGAGGGCACCCAGGCCTTCTTGGCGTGGGCGCAGGGCTGGCACCGCCAGCTGTGGGCTAATAGACTTGTCCTAAGCGGGCCCAGCTAGGGTGCGCAACTTCCTAGCTGAAAACCAAACGCAGAGGTAGGTGTGCAGCCCAGCCCAGCCCAGCCCAACACCTACGCACACTCACTCACTAACTTCCACCCGCATATATATGCACCTCGAACAGGCTGCGCAATCTATCACTCTTACACCCGACTTTTGCCGGATATTTACTGGTTTGGCTAATCTATGGACCGAAAAGGTACTGCTGCCGTTGGCCACAAAAGAATCCTAATGACAATAACATAGAAAAAGGGTGGAAGCTGCGCAGACTACTTTCTTCATAGGTGAAGACAAAAATCTTGTTGCCGACATCGTGCACACGTATCCGTTATTTTTTTTAGGATTTAACGATATCAGCAGCGCGGTGGCGACTTTAAGATATATATATATATATATATATATATATCACTTTGGCACTAGAGAGAGACATTTCTTCTGAGAACGAATCTGTAGAAACATCACTACAGGCCAGGCATTTTTGTGAACAAAATAAACAGAATTTACTTAGGACATAGTAGCTAAGAAGTAACAACGGTCGAAATTTCTGCTACGATGACAGAAACGTCGGCTTCCAGCCTACGACTTCCAACATACTTCCTTTTTATTAAGTGCCAGAAATTTTGGCGATACCCGGAGAGTAACTGTGAGGGTTCAACAACCAAAGGATTCCTCGTTTTTCTAGTTTGAACACACTGTGTAGCATACGATTCCAGGAGAAAAAAAGTGGTAGGAGTCAGTTACACTGCACTGGTCCCAAGTGTTAACGCAATGTGAGCATTGCAAGTAAAGTAAGCCTAAGGAGGATGCTGAAATCATTATTGGGAAAGTAGTCAAAGGAAAAAAAGGAAAAAGGCAACCTGATGTTTCGGTTTGGAGATAAGGTTAATTTTATTGTTTGTGTTAGTGTCAGGCTGATAACTGAGTCTAGGGTTACGGCCTGCGTTAATTTTAAGGGTTCCGGTTCGATTTAGAGTTAGGATTGCGGTTTGAGTTTACGTTTGGTGTTAGGGTTGATGTTAGGATTAGGGGAGGGTTACGGTTTAGGTTAGGGCTATGGTTAAGGTTAGGGTTTAAGTTAGAGCTAAGGATAGAGTTAGAACTTGGGCCAGGGCTAAGGTTAGGCTTAGAGTTAGGGCTATGGATTGTGGCTAGTTTAGAGCTATCGTCAGTTTTATAATTACGTCAAGAACTAGGTTTACTTTTGAGATTACGGTTAAGTTTATCGTTAGGTTTGGGCTATTGTTGTCCCGCGTGTCCTGTCAGCCAAGTCTTTTGCGGTGATTCTAGGCTTCCTTCAATCTCGCGGCAGATTTGTCATATATTAGGTTGCTTTTCGGTTTCAGCCGCGGCTACCTTCCCAACTAAAGACTTCAGCATCCTCCTGCCGCTTACTTTACTTTCAATATCCACATTGTGCTTACCTTTGGGACAAGGACGGCGTAACCGACCCTTGCCAGAAAAGTCACTCAATTTAAAGTAGCCACGAATTGCAATTCAGGCTGAAAGGCATAGTGATTAATTCATATAACTAATTGGCATGGTTCTGAGAGTGCAGAAGAAGAATATCAGACGACTCAAATCTGTCGAACGCAAAAATGGTTTTTTCGTTGCCCACTTATCCCATCTCCATAGCATGCCTCAACAAAGAGTTCAGATTACAAGGGAGCAAGAATTGAATGAACTGGATGCACTGGCGAACACCGGGAGTCCGAAACAATTATCCCTAGCCGGTCATAATCTTATTATGGACTGACAAAACCGGTAATAAGCAGATGATTCAACAACGTGCACCAAACGTACAGTAGATATGACATCTCATAAAAAGGTTAACCAAATTTCTGAAACCTGTGTTCAGTTGGAAAAGTTACTTAAGTAAGATCGTGCGGCTAACTGTCGTGCAGCATAATGACAAAATATTTCAGCCAAATCAGAATGCCGACTTTTAAACGGGCACCTTTATGGCCTCATTGAGAAAATGCGCTCTGTAGAAAATGGCTACTTACGTAGTATGCATTTTTCTCATTGACTTATGATGACCATATACATTCAACTATACTCAACAAAAAACATGCAAAATAATATTTTTCTTGTGCTCAACCGATGGCAAATTACGTATTCTGAAAAGTTTATCCTAGAGGAAAGTGTTTCTAACTGAGAAGTTTCTTGAGGCCGTGAAATCTCTACCCATAAAGCATCGTATCCGTACATTTATTAGTGCTACTTGTAAAGCTTACAACAGTCCACATATATTGCAAGATTTTACGAACCCTGCATACAAGCGAATCCACAGGTCGGGTTTAAAATTATTCAGGAATTAAGCAGATTCTTTAGAACCGAACGATACGCCGTCTTAAAGTATGAAGTTTGATGAAGACTTGATTTGCTACCAGCTGACATTTTGTCGAAGTGAACCTTAACGCGCGGTGAATGAAGACCTGTGATGCCATTTCCGAGTTAGTTGGAACATTTTTGATCGCCACTAATAGCCGATTAGGCCGTATTCAGAAATATAACGTTAATGTTCGACTGGTTCACAAGCCCTTGATTTAGTTACTAATCCTGGATATTCCGTGTCTAGGGTCACATAGTGACCCACTCATAGAAGCACGTAAGTCTTAAATAGCCGTTCAGGCCGAAACATCCCTTTTCGTTTGTCTTATTGATTAGTATGTACTAGTTCGTGGGGATCTTGTTCTGATGTCAAGATGAAGACAAGTAGAATATTAGCTAATGGTGCAAGTGGTAGACGATGGCCACCATTGGTACCCACTTAAACGACATTTTTAAGATATCTTTTCACTGACAAAAGTCCTCCTTTGCGAAATTGAGTATCGAAAAAAAGCTTGAAACTGAAATGATCATTCCTGGTTTATTAGCAGTTACCAGCTAGTATGACCCAAACCCAGATTTGAAGCACGTAAGTATCCAACCCGCGTTCTCTGATCATCAAGCATTAGGTAGGTCAACGCCCTGTCGTTGACATAATGTTTAAGTATAAGTATAGCAAGTAAAAGACTCCTCTTGACAAACTATGGGGAATGGTAAACAAACCCAGATAGAAGGTAATTGCTCCCAGACCAAGCTCAACCACACATCCTCTTGATTCGGAGTTGCTTGAGCTTTTGACTGAGCTACGAAAGACAAACCTTTCATCTGCACCAGACAGAAAATCAGCCAGTGCCAAGAAGGATCTGTCTAAGCCCATAGCTCTCCTGTTTGTGTTATTTCCTGATTTTTCATTGCTTGCCATTGAAAGTATCCTACTTGATTTAAATACTATTGGCTAAGATTTAAAGACCAAAGAGAATTCCCATCATAAACAAAGAAATAAAAAAAACTTGCTTTCCAATAGGTTCGTTTGAAGCAGTGATAGTTTATTGATTTTTGTGGATTTAGTTATTTATTTGACGAATTTGCAAAGACCTCAGTGAGCCTTGTGAGATTCAAGCCCACAACATCAAGGGTATTGCTCGAGTACAGCTAACGCCCTAGCTGTCTGCGTTAGGAAGCCTCAGCGCAAGTCGTGAGGTAAATCCCATTTGGGTCGCTACGCAGCCAACCTACTGCAACCTATGGAATCCACCAATTCTGATACAGTAAGCTGATTGCCCAAGCATGACTTCCTAAGCTATCCATCTGGAATCCACCAGATGACTGCCAGGCTCCATTAATTTATTGGTTTTTCCGGGAGACTTGAGTACCTCTTCTGATTCGTTTGTAAACAACTCGGCGGACTTGGTATGATTTGAGCCAACGACAGCATCAACGACAGAATAATATTCATTGAGATGGCTGTCCGTTACCCAAGACTTCCCTCCGATGACAAAAGCGGAGTCGTTTGTTTTTCCTTTCTCACCTCAAAATGACGTCCTATGTACTTCGAAAAAATTTGGGTTCTTTAATTTTTGTTTTTCAATGCGACCATATTCGATTTTACTTGGATACGACAAGACTTGTAGCTTACTTTGAATTTTAATATAACGTAGCCTTTAATGGGCCAAAATTGCTGGGTAGATAACATGCATCTGTTTATTCTTAAGTCTAGGAATTCAGAAGTTTCCAAAATAAAGGAGTTCAACTGGTGGACTGAAAATAAAAACATAGGTAAGAGCCAATAACCTATGGGATTTCAACCTTTCGTGCTATACATTTATCGTAATCGACAGTTTACGCATAATTATTGCCACTTTGTGGGCAAATGTAAACTTTTAAATAGCTATATTCTTTCAATTAGAAACTACCAAAACCATCGCAAGACAACCTCGATTCTACTGAATTCCTAAGTTTTAATCGCCTTGAAACCCCCCAATAATAATGAAGACAAGGAAGGGGGTAGTTTCCATAGGGAACAAATGGTGCATCGGAATGGGAGTAAGAATTGGCCTTAACTTACCTTTTCCGTGGCGAGCATATTTGTGCCAATGGGGCAGGGTGCCGACGTTCGGGCAGAGTCCTCAACTGTGTAGTAGTTCTCAACCAGTACGCGTTTTGCAGGCATAGGGTCTCCAACAACGCTAGCCCGAAGGCTGATTGGACTGCTGATGGCTTTTGGCGACAAGATTTTATCAGCTAGATTAACCGTTGGGAGAGCTTCGTTGATACCGTTATTCTGGTTATTACGCAGAAAAATTTGAATGTTGTTCCTCTGTGAGTCCAGGATACCTGCCGAGGTTTCTTGTGCTCCTTGTGACCGCTGTAAGGAGGGAACACATAAAAAAGGTTTGTTGTCAGATAGTTCACATGGAACAAATTGAGCTGTATGATTTAATTAATGTATTTTTAAATTTTTCGAACCAAGGCTTACTGAAGGCACTTTTATTACGCCTTGATATGGGGTGCTGCAGACCAGGAGTTAGGCATTGCTGGCTGATGAGGACAAATAAGCCAGAAACGGTTATATCACTCTCATTTGTCCTCATGGGCAACTTTGTTGTCACTTTTCTAATACATATGTCGAGGGGATGACAAAGTATAAATGACGAGCATTCCCACAGACCTCGGCCAACCCCAGAATCACTTGCTCGGCACGGTTAAGTAGTTAGCTGTTTTTGTACATAACCTCGAAGTCTGACCACGAGTTTGGGAATCAATTTCGAAAAATTACGCAACAGAGGTCATTTTATTCCCAAAAAATCTTCCTTATTTCAAATAAACATAAATATATGTATCTTGAGTGAATAAATACCCGATTTGCAACGATAGAGCATGGTAGGTAACGAAACACTAGTGAACTGCGGTTTGATGAAGTGCTTATGACCCATTTGGTAGGCCTCAGTGATGCACCAGCTGCGCCAGTTGTGTGAGTGCATGTTTGTGCTTTCGGTCCCAGCTGGTAGTCAGGAATGCGATTGACTGAACGAAGACAAACAAGCTCTGCATCAATCTACTCCCAGACTCTACAGTTTACTCTCTTCTATCTTAGTTTGGCCAAATTTGCCCTGACAGATGGTTGTCTGTTCGTGAACCCAGTCATCCATTGAAATCTTGTTTGCCCTGGGGAGTCAGTGGATCGGTTTTCGCCCATTTCTGGGTGAATTTATACATATATATATAGGCAGAATGGTATTACCGGCAAAGACAAGGAAGACTGGAATGACCATTTCTGGCTTATCAGTCGTCGTCAGCCAGTCATACCCAACGTCGAAGTGTGGAACAACCGAGGCTCGAGCTCGCGACCTGCTTGTTGGAATTCCAAGCCTCCAACCACTAGGCCACGAGCCCGTTGCCCTGTCGGTTTCGATCGGGCCCCGATCGAAGAAGAGAAGGCCAATTCATGGACCATATTGTATTTGAACTGACGTTTCGGAAACTTCCTCGTTTTCATCATCAGAATAGCGCACTTGTTGCTCCTGCCAGTCTTGAGTCAGCCTTATCTAACCCCATGTCTGGTGACGCATGGGTAGTGAACTCGCGTTCTTCTGGTTAGTCCAAAAGTCAAACACTGAGCCACCGACCCACTGTCCTGTGAGGGACGATCGGAAATATTAACGATGTTGGAATTGCGTTAATCGATCGGGCTACGAAACATTATCGCTCCATTGTGTTTTGTGGATCGATCTGGAGCCACACAGTGACTAGCCGTAAAGACAGAATGTGGTTTATCAGCAGAGACAATGAAGACAGGGGTTGTCATTTCTGGCTTACTAGCTGTCATCACCCGGCCATACCTGAACCCAGGTTTGGAGCAACTGGGATTCAAACCCAGAATCTCCCAACAAGCGCGTCCCGAAACGTGATCGATGCTCGCGCTTCCAACATGGTCAGCGTTTCCGATTACATCTGACAGGACAGTGAGCCCGTGACTCACTGTTACGACGCTGAACTTAATAGTGCGTAATGACTAAAAAAAACTTGGGTTCATTCCTCTTGTATCGTCAAATCTGGGGTTGGATGGGGTTGACTGATGATGACTAGTAAGCCGGAAAAACGACCATCGCAGTCTCCCTTGTCCTTTTTGATTAACATTATTCTGTCTTTACGACTAGTCGCTGTGCGGCTGCCCGAAGGACTCTAGGTCGAGTCGCAGATAACAACGGGAAGAGTCTGTCCTTTCAAACAGATAGCCCGTTCGACATAGAGAAGGGGGGAGTGAGAGATAGGGGGGGGACTGACTTCCGTTAACGAATAATAAAATATCTAAACTAAAACTATCAGATCCCGGGATTCAAAATCAGCCAAGCTAACGTGAATTAAGATCTTTGAGACGGCTAGTGAGTTTGAAATCCTCACTAGAACCTCCGCACCAATAACTGAACATCAGAATGTCTGGGCGTTAGACAATTTTTCCGTAAGTGGCAGCGATTTACGGGACCGTTAGACTGTACGGACATTTAAAATCCAGCGATGACAGAAGAAGAAAACAACGCCGCATGAAAACTGTTTTTGATGAATATGATCGTGGAAGATTTCAGAAAACAGGAAGATATCAGTAGCTGAAACAGATCTGAATGTAAACAGAATTGACAATAGGCAATTTTCATGTCCTTTTGTCAGCAGCCCTGATAACGAAGAACAGCAGGAAACGAGAACTTAAATAACGCTTGATTGTCAGGCAGCAGTCTGAGCAGATGATGGTTATGCTGGCAAAAGTGTGGAGTCATTTGACAGTGAATAAATTTATAGGAATAATTTGCCATTTTCGGTTCTCAATAGATATTCTAGGTGACGGTTCATGTTCTACTGACGACTTTCAAGTAGTTAAAGAAGACAGCTGCAATTGTAAGTCAGGCAAGCTTTTTACTCACTTCCGATTATCCAAACCAACAGGTTTCGGGGAAGCACGTGAACTGCGGAGTAGAAACGGGGAGGTTACCAGCGCGAAATTTAAACTTTCATATCACTTACAGGGTCGTGCTGTGTCGAACACGGCGAAAGGGGTAAGTTCAAAGTATTCTTAAACGACTATGAGTAAGTAAGTGAGAAATACGTAGTGTTTGGGGATTTCGTATGCTGTTCCAGATGAATACGCGTACGCTAGTGCGACCATCCTTGATGAATGTCGTAACTGTTTATTGTAACGGGTATGTGGTTGCATACGGTAACTGTGTACTACAAATACTACAAACCCTCGTACAACCAATACCCCTATCTTTTGCTCTTTCTGATGTTTTCAAGAACAGAGTCGAAGTTCAGGAGCATTAAATTCTTGTTTGTGCGATCTTTCTTCCTTCTTATTGATTAGACATACATAAAGTGGCTAACCAATATATTGGAGCACCAATCAATCATCTACATCAATAAACTGAATTTTAATTACAATCCAGTCAACTCGAACCGGCTGATCGAAGATAGATCAGCATAGTTACCCTGTCGACGAGATTACCATAAAGCATGCGTCATAGTGCGCCTATTACAGTGCTCAGCGTTATTTTTAACAGAACGGATGGTCACAGTTGTAGCATTCTGTTTAAATCCAGGTGTTATAATTACCTTCGAAAAATTAATGCGTTTGTTTAACTCAAGTTTACTCCTTTCGAGATATATGCAGGTAGTCCGGTTTCAGTGCTTGAATATCATTTGGTAAAAGCCCTTGCGTAATAAAATAGATTTTACTAAATTTTTACATAGTTTAAGAAAGCACCAAGAAAATGTGCGCTGCTGCCCAAAATCTGCCGTCCACATGCGGAGTCGATCACGCGACCCTCTAAAAGTCGCTCGACAGCCCAGACCACTCGGCCACCTCAGTGCGGTTGCCAGGCCTCCTACAAAATTATATGGATTGTACAGGCGAGCCACACGCAAATAGGACATGTGGTAGATGCCAGCTGTTATCCCTCAGGGTCAACGATCTCGAGAAAGAGACTGAACGGGTAAAGGCTTTTCTACAATATGATTTAGACACACCTGACGATACAAATGTCCCCATTGGGAGAATAACAAAGAGTAAAGCAAAAGTACCTCACTTAAAAGGCTCTTCAGAAAAACCTTCTGTGACCGATACGACTGCCCAGGAACGAAAAGCGAAAAATAAAATTGACAGCAGTCAATGAGGAAATCAGAAAAGAAAGAAGAAATCTGTTGGTAAAAAGTGAACGAAAATGAACAGCCGCTTCTAAGTGATATCCGCCAGAGCACCCGAACCAGAAACCTCGTCAACAGTCCCGTCTGCAACGGTTTATGCCGAAAGACCAAAAACAGTTCGCAACGGCCAGAAAACTCTTGGATTGGATGGGCCCAGCACAAGTAGTGGTATTGAGGCAATTACCGAGTCTGCAGACCATCATTCACTAACATCCGTGTCAACGACCTCCTCCAAGTCAGTCAAAACTGGCGTCGATCATCAAAACCACGATAGAGAATGTGTTCCGCCATCGCCATCTAATACCTGTTGAGTACCACACCCTCCAAAGAGAAATACATCAACAAAATATGCGAACGATATTGTCAGAGGCCAATGTCTCGTTATTCAAGGGACCCCCCGAATCAGATGCCAACACTTCTAAAGAGCGGGTTCAGGAAGATCTGAGGCTTTTCCAAGGCTTGCTTAATAATATCCTGGAACCCACTGGGGCATTTGAAGTACTCAAAGCCTTCCGTCTCCGAAAACGGACAAACAATCTGCCAGCACCAACACGCTCCCGACCTCTCAAAGTTGTGCTGGCTTGTAAGGACCAAACTGGATTGATTCTCTCACGGCGCTTTAGAATAAAAGGCATCAACTCCGGCGTTTTTTCAACCAGATTACTCGCCAGCATAGAGGCTGAAACGTCGTCTTCTAGTTCTAGAGCTGAGGAAGAGACTCAGCAAAGGAGAACAGAATTTGATTATCTACAACAACCAAATCAGACAGCTCCCACCATTCTTTCTTTGGACAGACTTGATCCGGATCACTGCGCAGCTGACATAGTAGGCGCAAGTCCTAGACGCATCGAAACTACTCCGCTGACAGCCATAAATGTCAAACTAAAATTTCTATATAAAAATATGCAGAGCATGTTATCGAAAGTCGACGAGCTAAAGATCCATCTATCTGATCTATTCCAGAATATAATCTTGCAGAAACATAGTTGAATCAGCAGGTGGACAACCGTGAGTTAACTATAACAGGATACCAGCTGTTTAGAAGAGACAGGCCAGGACGTCAGGACGGAGGCGTACTCACGTACGTAGAACACGGGCTTATAGTCTCAGACAAATCAGATAAACTTACGTGTACTTCTGAGGCAATTAGGCTAACTATAAAATTACGGGGTTCACTGAGCCTTGACGTCCTGACGGTCTACCGACCGCCGAGAAATGATCCTACGGCGGACGCCCGTCTAATTGGGGAACTGGAGAGATTCTCCACCCGGTCCGAAGTCTTAATCATGGGGACTTCAATGCACCTCTTATCAACCGGAGTTCAGCTTATGCATCTGGTTCAGACCATGCTTTCGACCGACGTTTGCTGGACATGACGCTCAGGTTATTTCTCACTCAGAACTTCTCTTTTCCGACGAGGGTGCGCGAAGGGCAACAGTCACACTGTCTGAATCTGCTCCTTACGAAGTCACTGGACAACATTGATGAGGTGCAATGTCTACCTTCCCTAGGTCGAAGCGACCACGTCGTACTTTTGTGGGAGCACTCCATTTTTTCTCTGACCGAACAACCCACCAGGGTTAGAAGGAACATTTGGTGCCGTGACTGTGTCCATATGAAAGTTAGACTTAACATCATAAATTCGGAATCAGCTTTTTCTGGTCACATAATCAAGGATTGGGACAGATTTAGTGAGTTATAGCACGTTCTTCTTACTTCCCAGAGGAAACTGAACAGCAGACCCCCGTGGCTAACACAAGTTTCAAAAAGAAGTGAATAAAAAGCGGAGGTTATGGAGTAAATTCCTCTCGGATGGGAACTCTGTGTCGAGAAATGCGGACAAGACATAGAAGAACCTAGTTAAGAGGCTAATCCTCGGGACGCGGCGTACATTCGAGAAAAACCTACTGAATCGGGCCGCAGAAAATCCGAAGTTATTCTATGGTTATATAAGAAAAAGCACACGAAACAAAGACCTAATCCCATTATTGAAAGCTAGTGACGACCTTGAACTCAGTGAAGACGGTGAAAAGGCAGAGCCCCTTTCGCAATTTTTTAAGTCCATCATTATGAAGGAAAGCGCATTTCGTCCTCCCGATTGCGACATACTGGGCGGGCCAACGATTGGGTTTGGCTCTTTCGTCGAAGCTATTGTTCGCAAAGAACTGTTGACGCTGAATGAGTCTAAATTACCTGGGCCGGATGACATACCGCCCAAATTGTTGAAGGAGCTCGCTGGAGAACTATCTAAATCGCTGTCCATGCCCTTCCAAGCTTCGATCGAAGCAGGCTATTTGCCCGCCGATTGGAAACCTGCACGGATCACGCCAGTTTATAAAGGCGGAAGCAAGGTCTTAGCAAACAGCTACAGACCAATCAGCCTTACTTTAATTTGCTGCAAAATTATGGAAAAAATAATTAAGCAAGAAAACTGCACCTCCTAGAAGAGTATACTGTTATGCGATGCCCAGCACGGATTTCGTAGGGGCAGATCATGCGTGACAAACCTACTTTATTGTTTATATCGTTGGACCAGGGCAATGCAGAGAACGCAGTCTACGTTGATTTTGAGAAAGTGTACCACATTATTGTCTGCTGTACAAATTAAGCCGAACAGGCATTAGGAGTAATCTCCTGAGGTGGATCCAAAACTTCTTGATCCGTCGCTCTCAAATTGTCTACGTCGGTGACAGGCAGTCGGCGGAGGTAACGGTTGAAGGCGATGTTCCTTAAGTCTCCGTTCTTGGCCTTACCCTATTAATTATATACGTCAACGACTGCGTCAGTGAATTGTGATGCCGCCATGTTCGCTGATGATGTTAAACTTTGGAGCGTCGTCCGAACTGAACTTTACAAAGGGCGCTTGCAGGCAGACATGAGAAATGGTCACAGGACCGACTTTAGCCGCTAACTGTGACTAAGTGCAATATTTTGCGAGTCAGTGGGACCCGATCTCCGAGCTGGAGGGTTTTCCACCTAAATGACATACCATTGCAGGAGGTAGACGCCCAGAACGACCTGGGTGTATGGGTAACGGCTTCTCTAAAACCGTTCCTCCACCGCTCCGCGATGGCAGTCCTTTGTCTTGTCAAGAGAGCTTTCTCTACCTTCGATGAGGACTGCTTCGTTAAAGTCTTTCGGAAATTTGTGCGGACACATTTGGAGCTCGATATTCAAGCGTGGAAATCCTGGACCTCTAAGGATCTCAGCATCCTTGAGAAAGTTCAAATGCGAGCAACCAAACTCGTTAGTAGCCAGGGTTCATTACGCTAAGAAAAACGACTATCCAATCTCGGCCTTTTTCCATTAAGGTGCAGACAGCGAAGAGGCGACCGTATACAAACATTTCGTATAATGCGCGGCCAGGACTGCTGTCTCTAACCTGCTGATTTCTTTGAGTTAGCAACCACAACGAACCTCCGAGGTCATCGGGGCTTGGAATGCTCTGCTTGCGGATGTCGTAATGTCCATCTCCGTCGAGGCCTTTTAGCGTAAGTTGGACCAGTGTACCACAAAACATCATAATGTCATCTGATCGATATCGTCTTATCGTTTCGTTCGAACAATATATTAATGTTATTATATTACTGCCTGTATTTCAGTAACCTTTGTTTTTTTTCTCCCAAGTCATTGAATGTGAGTGTTGGCATTCAATTCGCCCCCTCAGAAACTGAGATCGTAACAATTATCTGTAGGCTGACTACTGTACAGCACATTTAGTAATTTTGACGTTTCTAACACTTGGAAAAATTCGTTTATCTGTCTGGTTTCAAAAACTTTACCAATCTAAAAAACTTCTGTAGCTGTTTGACGTTCCCATTTTCAAATTTTTGATATAATTCGCTTCCTTGTAACAAACAGGGAGTTCAAACGTTCAACACCTATGTTTCCCTCAAATAAACTGAAAGTGAAAAAATACCAAGTTAACAAGAGGCCTTTTATGTAGACTTTGTTTTATAGATTCGTCACTTGGTTTAACATAGTTTTAGACTGCGACCAGGCTAACAGGCTTAACACACAACAAAACAATGAATTAGTTCACTCGGTACCTTCACTTTTTATGGCAATTCGACTGTCGCGAACGACCAGTTCCATCGTGGGCCCCGCAGTATGGCGGGCACAGGAACGGTAACTTGTGCGTGAAGTGGTTTATAGTGATAGTAGACTAGCTGAACATCGGCCGCATCTTCTCCTCCTCCCACGCCCACCTGATCCCACAGTTGAAACGGAGTCAAGCCGAACAGAGGCGGAATTAGGCGCAGTGGCTGACAGCCCGTCTTCTCGCGTGTCACACAGGCCCGGTTCACACACAGTGGACCCGGGTTTGCCGGACGCATGGGGACTCGGTACACAGTTATAAGCATTGACGATTTGGAGCACGAAACTCTTTTTGACATGGCAGTGTGATAGTATTTCCAGTGAAGTTTTCGCCTAAAATGTGCTTTCAAGGAATCCAAAACTCGACATCTCAGTCTTTCTCCACCCTTTAAGCAAAAATAATGCCAGACTTTAACTCACATCTGGAGTTTGCACTGTCCGCACTGTTCTTGTCGTTCGCACTGTTACGGCCGTAATGATACACTGTGGTGAGCGCCACAGGTCATTGTCTTGCTCCGTATAAAATTTCCGTTTTAATTAGCGTATCTCAGTGGACAGCATAAAGTAGCCTGAAATGTCCTGGAAAGGAGTCTGTTTATACATGGTAAAATTTGTATAAGTAGAATGCGTCGTACCACTACTGGCCTCCTGTTGAATTAATAAGAACTATATCCACATCCTCAATCATATTACCTTGTTTGGTTCTGCTTCGCGCATGAATTATAAATACGTCTTTTGGGTCCAACTGGTCAGGCCTTACTGGGCAGATTCCACAAAGTTGCATTTCATTTACAATGTATAGCATCAGTTTGCTGAGTAGAGGTACGCATGTAGACCCCCACTCGAAAAGCCTTTTCGGTCAATCAAAAGCCTGGCAGGAGAAATGAGGCCAAAATTACGCGGTTAATAGTTGCATTTTGACTTAACTAGAGCACAGTTAAGTCCTACGACAAATTCGTAAAATATTCTGCTTGACATGAATTTATTAAGCTTGATCCAGATCGTCACAGTTTTTATGAATTGCCTTGATGAGTCTCTGTAAGGCAGCAGCTGCCCAGATTGTTTATTTAAGTCTGTCTTCTCTAGTTCCTTGGTTTTCTGGGTCCTGAGTGCTAGACTGAGGCTGCAAGGGAATATGTAAAATGGCGTAGTCCTCGGTCTTTGCGGCATTCTATGTACCAGTCGATGCATCAGATCCCAACTTCTCAGCCCAGGGCCGGTCAGTGACTGTTTATTCACTTGACGTAATAGCAGGCCCTTTTTAAAGCTGGTTTTTGTCAACAACCGTTCCATCCTCCGCCGTCCATTGACGCATCAGCAGTCAACAACTAAGTCAACGTATACACCTGTCTTTATTAAACACGTGTCGTTCTTTCCTGAAAATGGTCCGCTGTATGCATTCGTGAAAGGTTCTATTACATATTATTCGAATTTTCACTGGTCCATGAATAAAGGGGTGCCAATTAAGGGTAAGTGCTAAGGCTAACGCGAAAATGTGTGTAGGGACATGGACCTCTGGCAGAATCTGATAAGGGTCCGGATGTAAAATGAAAGGGCATATTGGTACAAACAGCAGCACCGAATTTGACGGGATACTTTGTCCGGCTAGAAAGAAAACCTGTGTGGGCCTCCAAATATGGAGGCCTGCATACGCCTGGCAGCGTTTCTGAGGCTTCACGTGTGGCTTTTTCGTCAAAAATGTATATAGCCATTCGTAAATATGGGCTTAATAAGCAGCACCTTCGGTAACTTAGAGGTATTCAACGCAAATAAACAGGGTTTGTCACCATTATCGCAAAATATGACGGCTTTTCCTTAATAAAGGAACACTTTATGCTAAACTTGAACGCTCGATAATAACCGAACGAATTTTTTGGATGGAAATTTAAAATCTGCATGGTTTTATGCTTGCCTGTAACTCGACATAAATGGATGAAGCCTGTGAACCATAATTTGTTTATTTAAGCGGGCTTGCCGCAGTGCAGCCTGCGTTGCAATTACATACGACCTCTTATTCAGGAACGGTGTGCATTTCAGTTTATAAACCACATTATATCCCTTGCAGTCTAAACATCAGTGCTTTCGCCCTCTCTTCAAGTTTGATATCAATATGTCACGTGATTTTTTCGAGCTACAATCATCCGTATAATAAAATGAAGAAGCCTAAGGTTGCTCAGTAAACATCGCTCAAGGGACGATTCAAATAGTATTCTTGGTATGCGACGTAGAACGTCTTAATTACTATGAACCACGCAAATAATCCTGCATAGCCGCAGAAATCCTAATAGCATAAAACTTGCCTGACATAAAAACAGCTGCCTGGAAACATGGGCTTTTTAATTATCTGTGTAGTAAGCGAAGAATCGGCCTGTTTGGCGTCTCCTCCAAGTGACAAGTCTAAGGTTTGTAGCATCAAGAGTTACCTAAAAATTAAGACAAAACTAATGCTGTTTTGACTAATATACGTTATTCAGGTGGCTGAAAAGACACCCATCCCAATGCCATTATGCTACTGCATATGAAATAACCTGACAATGCGTCCCAGGCCAAAGAAGTTTATCTGGGGTAAATTCCTCAAGATGACAACCTCGCACCTAATGACTGCTCTTTGGGCAAGACAACCTTGTTGCACATCTCCAGTCGACTGTTTTTAATCGACTGGTAATGTTTCAGCATGGGTCAAAATTTAAAAGGTCTGTAAAATAACTGGCTCACGCAGATCAAAGTGCCTCCGTCAGCGGACAAAATCCGAGTTAAGTTGCCATAAAAAGGATTTAAGCCACGAATCGTGCGCTATTTGTGGCTGGCGTGATAAAATTACTTAGCTTTCTGTGTCACAAAGCAATCGCTATCGAAACGGCTGCGCTATCAAAGGGAGGGGACAATTTTGCTTGCCGCAAAATTTCTGAAGTCATTCAGCCACCTGTCTTGATAAGAAAATAATGTCCGGAGGAATTCTGTTAAGTAGGAGCGAAAGTCTAACTCCATTGAGATGACTATTTCGCGGACAGAATACAGCTATGCAGATTTACGAAAAGTTGTCAGTGGTGTTTGCTGTCATCTGCCTTCCATACTCCACTGTAAGGCCGTCAAGATTCCAGACTCTAGGTCGAAATCACTAGTCACTGGGCATTATGCCAAACACTCTGCCATTCAGCCTGGGGTTCGAGTTCTGGGGAATCTGGTCAGGAATACTAAAAGGCGTATAAAAATGGGCCTCCACGATCTGCCCGTTGTTAAGGACCATATGCGGATGACCCCATTTTGCTCTAGGTTTCTGCTCAAAAGCCCCAGGTCTTTCCGGACTGGACTTGACGTATATGCAACAAGTTGCCCAGAAGCGTGCAATACTGCAAAAGTATTCTTTGTTGAAAGGAGCTATCACTCACTCTATACATTCAGAGCATGTTGCACAACCTTGTTCTGGGCTGTCGTCATTTCTGTATTGCGGATTTTCGCTTCCGGATAATCTCGATGCTCAAGAGCACTCTTGCCATCCAAAATCCGGCTATATCTATACTCAGTCTGAGAACGTTGAGAGATCCGAATTGATGATTTCCGACATGGCACTTGAAATTTCTGGTCGATTAAATGCACGTTACGCTATAACAACGGAGAGCCGGCCAAGCCCTTCATACGCTCGTACCTAAATAAACTCGTTCCGGTGAGCTCATTTTTTTAAACCTTTACTCTTATGCCACGACCTTTCCACTGCTCAATCCAAGTTCTATATTTATTCCGTTAGTGTCTGTTAACTGAAACTAGTATCATCAGTATTGCCGTTGATTATTGGTTGGCGAGAACGAATTATTCAGATACCACCATGTCAATCTTCCTTGTCTCCCTCCGTACCACTCGTCGATCGTCAGCACGGATTTTATATCAAAACTCCCAGGCAATACATAGTTGGCCGTACTTTGTCCCACAATAAAGACAGATAAGTGGGGGTCGCATATGTGTCGCCAAAGACCTTATACATCATTTTTTGTGCGCAGTGGCTGGCTGGCAGGCTGAGAGTTAGGCTGCAATTCTTCCTTCTGAGTGTGGTCGTTATGGCATCCTCACTCAGCGGCGAACCTAACCGTCCCTCTATTCTATGAAATGCCGGCTTAGGTCGTGTGTGCAACCGTAAACGGGCTATTCAGCTTTGTCGGCAACTGCCTCTGGGCCCCTCTCCAGTCATTCAGACTCCATCTTGCCATTGGACGCAGGCAGATTAGGGACGAGGAAGTGCAGTAGGCACAGCGAAAGTCTGCTATCACTATAAACTAAGTCGGGCGCCAACCAGAGTCCTGTGCCATCCATGCTGTGGGGCAAACAATGAGCAGCTTTGTTCATGACGGTCGAGCTTGCAAAGTATTACGAGCGGACAGAATCTGGGAGCTACGGGCAGTCGCTGTTAACTTCAAAAAAGGCTGAAAATATTCGTCTTCGTCTGTAAACCTAAACATCTCGCACACGTTCGGTTAGTCTGAGTTGTTTAGCTGCAGTAAATAGCATGTGCCTAAGGTCACCTTGAGGTTATCAACTAGTGAAAATTGTGTGGTCTGGATACTCTTTCCGTGTCACATTGAGTTGCTATCTATGCTATTAATCCAGTCAAGATGCTTAATATAATTACATACGCGCAAAACGGGTGACCCGTGGCAAGTGTTCTTGCCTACACATCGTCTGGAAAAGTGTAAATGCGCATTACAATCGCATGTTCTGTTTAAGGTCTGCCATCAATATATTAGCAAACAACAGCTTGTTCTTTCAGATCACCCGGTCAGCAGGCAGGTATCTTGTTTGGGAAAGCACTTGAGGATGTGAAAGCTCAAAATTAAAGAGAAACTTTTTTAAAGATAACAGGTAGACTATGACGTTCGAAATTTTTCTTCAGTTCAGTGTTAGAGAGACGGGAAAAACAACAGTTATGCCTCTGCCGTCGGCGCTTAGAATCCCACTGAGGTCACCGAATTTTTCGCAACTGGGTTAAATGAATGACCAAAGTGTTAAATTAAGCCAAAGGCTAAAACTTCTTTTCTGAAACTGAGCGACTATCAATGAAACTCACTGACACTTCGCTAGTAGTACTTCACAGGCCTCCGATGATACAGGAACCAAGCGTCTTAACCTGGCTGATAACTGAATTAAGATGGAGGTCCGTCTGTAGTTTGGTTAGATGGTTAGGTTGCTGATTGGCTTATTAATTCAGCTTCGTGTTTTCCATCCAAAAATCATGACCAACATGTAGATATTAGGGGCTTATTTGTTGCTATCCATGTAACCTTGTTCATAAGAGCTCTAGATCCGACTTTCAGAGGGGAAAAGAATACTTCTGTGGGGAATAAAAAAGTTTATTACGCAGCGCTTGACGATTTATCTGTTTTTGGTAAGGCCTACGCATTGATGGTGGGAACTCTCACGGATTCTCAAATCTTCTGACAGATTGTGGACCTCGCGCGTCAGGTGACGAGAAATCGGAAATCTAGGGCAACTAAAAGTTTTTCCTACACCGGGTTGTTGATGGGATACTCAAAAGCTTTCGAAAAATTGTACAAAAACGTTTTCATAAGTTACTAGGTCTTGTCTTTTCCAAATCAAACGCTCAGTAGATAAAAAGGGTTAGGGAACTTCAGTTTTTTGATGCTCACGTTAGCAGAAAATCAAGCAGTGAATTAGAAGTCCTAGTAGGCCGAAAGACAAAGAGCACAGCCGAGATCCTCAGTTTTTGCTGCAAGGAATCGCTAGACAAACCGTCTTGTGACTCCGTCGCACTTAAAAAAACCGAATGACCACAGCGCTCCTTCACGATCGATTCCCGAATAACAGTTAGTCGTGTGCCTTCGCCCCAAGATGTTTGTTCGCTCTCCAAAAGTGACCATTACGGAAAGACAGTTTAGGTGCACCTGGCTCCAAAATCGCAAAGTCCGCTGCTTTACATCTGCGTTATCTACCAACAGGCCGCTGTAACATGTAGTTAAGACCTGTGTCCATGCCAGACTAGGGTCAGGTATGCAAATTTGTCCAATTCACCACAGTCCATGCTTCAACTGTCTCAGTAATCATGCGGGCGAATGCAGCAAAGGTTGCGCGCTGTGCCACGCAAACAACAAAGGTGCGTTTTACGGGAGCTCTTGTACCTTTCCTGGCTACTCACAGCCTAAACTCAAAATGAATCCTCAGTACATTGCAGTAAGGCTGTGCGTCGGCTAACAGAAGCGACGACTTTCAACTGCCTACAGAAGTCCCTCAGCGTCAGACTGATAGACAAAGACCAATGCCACTGCTATAGACTGTCCCCAAGGTCGAAACCGCCCTTCAAATGAATACTAAACGAACCAGATTGAGTCATTTCTGAACATCGGCTGCGTAGCATCTGCAAAACTGATTTCGAAGAAATCGTGTGCGTCGAAGACACAGACTTCCGCGCTTTTCTTATTTTATATATTTAACCAATAGTTTACTGGCATCACTATCTTCTTTATGATATCTGCAATAAAGTATGAAATACTTTAAAAAAACGATTTGAGACCAAGCTGACCCCTTGTTGAGTTTCACGAGCGGAGGCAATCTAAATGTACTTTGCCTCATTTTTGTTGATTGCTTAATTGGAATCTGTTAAAGAAGCGAACACGTAAAGGCGCCTTGTGAAAAACTGCATAAACGAGTTTTTCATCTTTAAAGAAAGAATTCGTCCCCGTTTATAGGCCACGCAACGATAGTTCGACCGTTGAGACCGATGATGTCAAGCGTGTGCTTCACACCTGGGTGAGAGCGGACAAAGTGACTTGGACGTAGATTCTTTTCTTAGTGGTGATAGACTTGCGCAGCATCCATTGCACTCTCTTTTGCTCCCACACCCGGACCCGTTGTCTTGACATGCTTAGTAAGACCGGAGGCGGGAGAGCGTGCAGGTGACAGGAACGGCATAAACTCGCACCTAGGCGTACCATCACAACATCTGGTCCACAGCTTGCAACTGACCGAGATTTTGCACAAACAATAAAAAAGAGGAGGCGACTTGAATCCCAACTAGCGTGGCGTGAGCCTGCACCTGGGCCTGCCGCCAGACCTGCCACCACTTGGATTTCTTATGGGTGCGCATTCGCACCAACGCCTGCCAGACCGCGATCTAGTCTCTGTGCTGGTCCAACACATCCGCCGAGTGGCCTCTTTTAAGGGCCGAGACAGGGGGAGAGGCCTAAGAGAGAGGGGTTTCAGGTTAAATAGATCACTAAACCAACCGATGGTAGGGAGTCTTCAGCCAACTTCGTCAAAGCGTTTGCAATTAATATGTGATAGGTCTGAAAACTGAGCTGGGAGTGCATGAGGCCAAGCAAAAATCAGATGTCTGTACGTACGTAAGCCACTGCCAAAGCACCCAGATATCCCTCGTCTGGATGCATCTCATCCATCATGTTTGCGCCCCCACTTTCTGTAGGCCCCTCTACAGCCGTATTTCCATCGAAAGACTGTGCAGTCATTGAAAAAGAAGACCGCTACTGACACACCAGATCACAGCCGGCCAGAAGTAGCTACCCTCACAAAATAGAACATGTGCCGGTCGCGCAGTCCGAAGTGAATTCCATGAAATCAGGAGGTGAAAGAAAGGAATCAGAAGGTGGCAGGGAACTTGGCACATAATAGGCATACCCGAAGTGTAAAATGTATTAATAACGGAGTTTCCTAGGCTTAGTGTTTTGCCACGAGAAAATTCGGAGGGAAATAAAGAATAATGTTTATGAGGGAGTTTACCTGTGTCAATTCATGTGTAATTTTCTAGAACCGCCGTCTAAATCACACGCTAGTACACAGACCGTAAAAGTAGGGGCATTTTATCTTGTATTTAAAGGTTTCAGTTTGGTAATTTCATTTTTGTATAGTAACTGCATTAACTTAGAAGACGTAATTTCGTCTTGCTTAATTATCCAAAATTCTTATTGGAAGGGGTACTGACAAGAACAAGTCAGACGGGAACGGCAATTTTTGACATGTCAACCGTTGGCAGTCAACTTTACCAAGTCTCAAGTATGCAGGACCTAGAATGCGAACCCGGTCTCTTTGATCATTGAGTTCCAAGAATTCCGGCAGGCCCTTTGTCCTGTCCTCGATGTTCAGTTTGCTAATCTAGAGTTTTTGGGCTCAGAACACTACCTTTTTATCATTACATGCAACGTTTCCCCTAGTTCTTCTGTCCACTCCGGAGAATAGTCAAAATTACGTAAAAGTCAAGTTTTCTTCCATACTATTTTTGCTACTTTATTGGCTACCCCGGGAAGCCTTTGTGGTCAGAGAGAATCACGGACCACCCTGTGAAGCACTAGCCGGCTTTAAATAACACACTTCCACGCCTTATCGACCGGTCTAGGCTAAACTGCGTGCTTGCATGGCGAATTCCCTTAATAGACAGACAACTCCAACAATATGAACCTAGTCATCTTAATCGGCGTACTTGCGCACGTAGTACGCCTGAGTAATGGCGATGAATTCGAGGATTTTCTGAAATTGCTACAAAAGCTGGACGCGCAAACGGACAACGAACGCTGTGAAGATTCGAATGAGTTCGCCATTTGGACCAAGGGCCATGGTGATTCTGGATACGATTATACGGACTCAATTGAAGTGGGCATAATATGCTACATCTGTGACAAGTGTCCACATACTAATCTTGGACGGGAATCACCAGCAGTCTGCACGCACTGTATGGTAGGTCACTCTGCATGGATGTTTTATTTTCTTCTTTCGCGTCTCTAATGGCGCACAATCAAAAAGTCACTGACTTTTAAAAAAATACTGCGACCGAAAACGAGCTCTTTATTTCAGTGTTTCTAGATGACTTATCGAGATTTCTGATAGCTATGCTGTTAGAATTTTCCCCAAATTGACGCACGTAGCCCAGTAAATATTTCGGTGCGATAATATTTTAAACATAATCTACTCCATGGATTTTGTTTTAAAACCACGATAATTCAAGGCTGTATTATTAGCCTATAAAAACACATATCCTATGGAAAACAATCATTAGAAAATTAATGAAGACAACCAGCAATATGAAAAACCATCGGTAACATATAAAGCTGTATTCTGGGTTATTAGTTTTTCAACCTTTTGAAAATCTCTTAGGGTTTTAACTGTTCGACGAAGTTGAGATCCCCCTATTTTGATGAACGTCAATGCATTTAAATCCCGACTTCAACGTACCTTGAGGAAGTACCAAAATATAGCATGTATAAGAGGTCCTAAGAAAGGTCACGTAACCGACAAACAGACAATATGCCTCACAAACAGGGTATTACGGGAGCATACTTAATTGCTGACTATAAGAAAAGCAAAAGGCCATTCTTAATATGGAATTTCATTCTTTTGTGGCGCGGTGTTATTTCATAGCCGATTCCGACGATGTTCATTGGCTACCCTACAGTTGGATGGGGCCAGGAACGGTACCTTACGCGTAAATTAGTTTATAGTGATGTTAGACATGCTCTGCATCTACCAAATCAGTGTCATAACATGGTCAAGGAGACCGGGAGCGGGAGTGGACGCAGGTGGCTGGCGTGACATAAATCCGCACCTTGGCGCTCCACCATATCCTTTGCATGACACTCGTTTAGGGGGCACATCCTCACTAAGGCCTGCGTTTTGGTGTTGCACATCTATCGTGTGGTCCGTTGTAGGGACACATTTCTAGAGCGATGCATTTTTCATATTGACCCAACTGTGAAAAACTCGCCGCATCGGTGGGATTCGAAGCCACGCAGTAAAGGGAAAGCTTTAATACAGCCAACGCTCTAACCACTTGAGCTACGAGACCCCGCCGGACGAAGCGAGTTTAATCACATTTGAGTCAAGTTACCCACCGAACCTACTGCAACGTCTGGAATCCACCACATCTGATACAGGATTTCCTAAGTAATTCACCTAGAATCCACTAGATGACTACTAGGCTCACGTAATTCATAGATATTTTGGCAAATTTTGAATACTTCATATGCATTTTTGTCCCCTCAGGAGGAGGACAAGAAATACCAGGCCATGTTGGATTGTGCATCTTTATTAAGGCAAATTTAGCGATTACGTCCGCCAACATCTTTTCCCTGGTAGGTTCAAAAAGTGGACGCGGATACCGTCACCCGTTCGTGCGTGGGTTATGATAACCCGCTCTGCTCATCTGATAGCGACTCTTGCTGCTCAACAGACTACTGCAATTCTCAGCAACGGACAAGAATGAATCTCAAAAGGACAGTGACACTTACTGTTATGACCATGGTTTTCATTTCATACACACAATAAAGGTCAGGCAGAATAACGGTTTTGTTTCTAAACGCCAACTAAAATATTTGTATGGGTGAAAAGGTTTGGAAAAATGTAAATGCAGAGCTTCCGGAATAAGTATCTTCCTATTAAATGCGTCGAATTTAGTTGCTTTTATTTCACTAAAAAGCCCTCATGACTGATTACTTGTTCACAGTTTCATGTGAACGAAACTTAATTCCAGAAGCAAAAAGTTAACACGCTGGTAGACTGCTCGCGTACCTGGTGTTTCTGATAGATAAATTAACATCATACAGGATCATTTAAGAACGCTTGTCTGTATAAGTTATGTGCTCGAGGTTGTCACTGTGGGATATGCCTGGTGGGATGTACTTTAGTAATGAAGGCAAGGTTTTATCTGGTATACTTTTCTTAAATAATGCAGACAGATTAGTGTCGTGGTTTCTAACATTGCGAACGAGATCAGCGAGAGCCAGACGTCTGATAATAGCGATCGTCACTCTAAATACCCCCCCCCCTGAAAAATGTGACCGAGACCTACTTACAGGTGAGCGTAGTGAGAAACGACCAGACAACGAGCAACTTTTGCAGTCTTTCATTCTCTTGCCCTTCCTGATTCCCGCAGATTGTGAGCAAGTCGAGATATCTACTTAAGAGGGGTTCTGTTTGTTGGGAGTTCAAGAAAAATGTCTTCTTTGAGTTCATCAGTCTTTCGTGCTCATGTGCAAGGTCAGGCGACCGTAGTAATGTGCACGTTGCTTGGTTTGCTTCCCTGATTTTGGCCGTCAATATCAACTGGCAAACTTCGTGCCCATGCGAGGACATTCGAGAGAGTGATCCTGTACGCCCAGAGAAGGATAAGTTAGAGCGATCATCCAGCTGCATTTCGCTAGTCCAATGAGTTTTCCGATGACTCATCGGGTGCCCAGTAGTCATACAGTTAAAAAAAGTCAGAGAAACTCGTTTACGATCTAACATCTCATCATTATCCTGCCCCTTGTCTGCCATTCATTTACCTAGATCTAAAAGAGACGACGTCAACAGCAGCAACGACTTGCGCGTGAAAACGTGAGAAGGGTGGGCGATGTGTGCACGTTTTCACAAAATTTTTCCCTTATTTTAAAATCTGTCCTTTTTCTCTGTTGAAACCCTTATGAAGAAAATGCCAGGTGAACACAGGTTCAACGCCCGAACGTGTGCCTGACTGAGGTCCTTATCTGACATAAAACAATATCCGCAGACTCTGATGTTCATGTCGGCAAGCCTTTGTTGGTTGAGATAGAGGAATAAAGTTGCGGTGCCTTTCTTTACCGAACCAAATTGGCCTTCACCTGGAAATTCTAACTGACAGATTTCCTACCCCTTAAACGCACCGACTTGGAAATAACAAGTGGCCCATTTTACAGTACACCGACTAAAAGAGAAGTAGCATTCACGCGTTGCCTGTCACTGTTTAAACAAATTAGTCCGACGACGGACTACCTAAAACAAAGGAAAAACATTGGCAAAAAAACCGACAGTTACAGCGTCACAGGCGACTAGGTCCGTTAATACCCGAAGAAGTGGGCAAAGTCGTGACTAACGTGTGAATATGTTCATAGTGACGCCGGCTTGCGATGACCCCACCACTCCCCTACCACATCCACCGCCTTCCGATGGTAAAGCAAAGCCAGAACGATGGAAAGAAGGCGTGATTGTAGTGGGTGAAAAAGTTAAATGATGCGTCCATCTGTACCACGCGCACAACCCTATCTCTGAACATACACCTATCTCCTAAACCTGAAGGGGGTCTCAGGTGCATCGTAAGTGAGAGCGCCATGAAGGCAACAATTAGAAACTGCCACTGTAGACGATTCTCAGCCCTGAGTGGGACGGAGTTATCTCATCAACTAAAAGCTCTCCAGGTCGAGGCACCTAGCGCGCATGGTAGATTTAGACATGCCAGGTTTATCGTTCGGAACATTGGGGTGCCTTGCCATGAGAAAGCGTTTCGCAGGATGGACCTTCATTCTCTTTCCACTTCTACTCACCAATAATAACATATAGCGCAGTCTTAAGGCATGGTCAGGAAGAACGGCAGCGGAATCGGGTGCAGTGGCTGACAACGCTCACCATCCCGTCTACGGGTGCCATACACTCTTGATTCGCGAACGATGGACCGGGTTTTCATCGAAAGAGCAAGCTGACTCAGATCCCAACCGAGTGGAAGTGTCGGGGGGGGGGTCACATTAAAGAGCCAATGCAGTCCGACTCTCCTTCCTGAGATGAACGAGTTATCCCGTCAGTTGGCAGCCTCCCAAGCCGCGGCATTTACCTCAGATTGTTTATGGTGAGTAAACTGCGTTGTGTGCCGTGAGAACGGAGTCGCCGGAGTTATTCTCACTCCTCGCTGTCCCAGGCGCCAGTCCCCCGTTCGAGCAAGTCAGTCGTCTGATACGGAACTTTGACGCTCACATAATGTGCGTCAGATGTGCGACGAAGTGAAAGGTTCACTCAGACACAGCACGGTCCGACAAAAGCATGTCACGAACCGATATGACCCCGTATTGGTCCGCCGTAAAAGCAACTCAGCCCGTTTGAGGAGTTAAGTTGTATAATCATGATTTGTACTCCTGAACTACGCCAACCAATTGGTTGTAGCCCGAGTATTCTCGATAAATTATTAGAAAAAACGCATGCCATTTTTTGTTTAGCGAATAATAAAAAGGAACTTGTGCATCGTCGATAAATCCACTAAAACACAAGAAGTATCGGAACGCCGATGTGCCAACAATTATATTTAGAAAGGACAACTTCTTAGGGCACATCCAGAGAGCGCAGTGCGAGCAGCTTTATGTCCACAAAGAAGGCACATGTCAAACGTGGTTCCTGTATGGCATTTATCTTAACCTCTCAGAAAGAGTTTCACCGGTCAAGGCTTCGGTCAAGCCATACATCCGAAAGCCCTTTTGCCGATTATTACTACATTCAACCTCAGTGTGAAGTACCACAGAGTAATCGAACACTATCTCTGTCACAAACCTTAGTACTTGCTAGCTTAAAGAAGTCCCTTGTAAGCCCTTGCATTTAGTGGAGCCGACATCTGAAGACGTGTTGTTTTAGCTACCTTCATAAGATATAGTACCCGTTAAAAAGGTCACAACTTCATTTACAATTTATCACTGATGGTCTCTCTAATAAAACGGCATTATTTAAACTAATAATTGGCGATTACCCCTCTATGAGACAGCTATGAAGCGAAGAAAATGCGATTCCGCAGAAAGTAGATGACCGTTATATTGTGTCCATACGGACCAGCGGGTGTGGTGGTACGCCTTGATGCGGGTTTTGGCCATGTCAGGCCTCTCCCGCTTCAGTTATTTTTGACTGTCTTGACACCGGGACATTTAAGAAAGGAGAGGGTGTGGTAGTCGTATCGCAAGTACAATATCACCGTGACAGAAATCCCGAGCAATTTACCGTCCCTGCTCTCACCCTGCTGTGGAGCATACGGTGGATATCGTCGGTCACGGCTGTCGAACTGTCGGTATGTAGACTTTCCCATTCATTTGGTATCATCTGAATCTTACAATAAAATATTTCACTCACAATCCGCCCCAAGGTATTAATACGTCTTCCTAGGTGCCTGTTAAATCAGACAAGATGCTACTGTTCAAATGTATTCATAGGATATCAACTAAAACTTCAAAACACTCAGTCCACCCTAAATTCATTTCAGGTCAACAGGGAAGAATTTACTGACACATTAAAAGTTCGTTACACTGCAACTTAGCCCTGTATTTACGTAAAATTCAATCGTCCAAGGCAGGTCAATGTTAACTTACTTTCCAGAAAAAATCAAAAGGGTATTGCCTTTTTTGTGCGCATATTCTACGTCCAAATTCTTACTGGGAAAACTCAAGACACCAGCCAATGGAAAGGTAATAACGATTGTGAGGAAACGAAAGTCAAGACTCTCAGTTAAAGATTCGACTTGAACTTTTAGCTATCAGCAGAAGTGAATAATTTGGGGAAATTTCACTATTCATGAAGGACGACCGGGAGATGCGGGCAAAAATGTGCAAAAGGTTATTTGACTTACCTGCGAGAATTTCCCTAGTAAGATTTAACCTAATTTCCAATGCGTATATGCTCCTTATAAGCATCTGTATTGTGAAAATCAGGCCAACTTACCATGCTCTGTATTGCCTTTCGGAAATTTGTGTTGTCGCAGCGGTCCGTTCTCTTCTGATAACCGCTAATAAAGTTGAAAAAAAATCTGTCATCAACTCAATTTTAATCACTTCCTCAATTACTTCAGAGACCAAATTTGCCCCCTAGGTTTACATGGCAGTTTTATTGGTATTTTTGTTTGCAATAGCAAACAGAGCTCTAGCAAAGTCCTAGCTTATAGAATAAGGATACTTACTGATTCAAAAGCTTTGCGGGCCAGTATTTATACCGAAAGCCTTCAATGAATGGAGGATGCTGATTGCTTATTGGAATGAATGATTATTTGCATGAACAAAAGAACAATAATTTTCGAGGATGTCGGTGGAATGAAGCACAGCGTTTTATGGCGATTTTGCCAAACCTCCCAGTTGTCGTTTTTGTTTTCAAAGCCAAATCTATATGCTTGTGTAGGCCCGATTTTCGCGGCAGTTTACAGTAACTCATTCAGCAAAGAGACGTGAATAAGTCCTAAATCCTCAATTAATTAAGAGGTTATTGGAAAAGCACTGACTAAGAAGCTCAAGATAGATTCCTAAAAGATGGCTGACAAAATCCCAGCAGATGTCAGCTCCAGTAAACAACATAAGAGACAGTGAGTGGAAGTGACATGTGTATAAATTTATTAAATGTCACTGCTGATTAAGATGAATGCCGACAATCTTTCTAATTCAGCTTAGCCAGCAATTTATTCACTGTTCGCTTTTACAGCCTCAGCGTTGTAAATGTATGTCTGTGACTGTCGGACATCGACACCCTCCTCTATGCTATTTACCCTGACATATAAATCAACTAGAGACGTGGATATCTTGGGCAGTGCAGTTGATGCGCTAGCCGTTAGGAATTAAACAAGTCCCATTGTCGGAGGCTGGGGTGACAAAGCGTTCACAGTACTTCGGATGCTTATGCCAGCGGTCAGAGTGTATTCCACAGCTTTTGTGATTCCGCACGAAATACTGGTCGGGAGCTGTAGTCTAGGATCGGCCGGTCGCCGCGGCGCAATTACCGCCAGCATTTGCGCTGGCCCTCACTGCGGTCCCACTGTCGGCGCTTATGTTGCACCGCACGTCCGTTTGCCGTCTGCTTTAAACTCTATGACTCCAGAGAGGTTTCTCCAGGATCTCTGATCGACAAATGTCAGAGACGAACAGCAGGTTGTCATCGTTTCCCTGATCGTGTGCTCACTGTTTCGGTCAACTATTTCGTCACCCTCCTACGCGGAATCTTTGGTCGTTCAGCGTCAAATCTAGCGCTATAACAACGGGTCCGTTGTCTTCTCGGCTATGATCGAGAATGAAAATTATTATGAGTGGTGCGCTCACCGATCAGGTCACGGAGCATGCTCGTCCTATTGCGGTCGCATAGCCATTACTGATGTAGAGGTTACTGGGTAGATCCCGTAACCTGGTCGATCATTCTGATTACTGAAGATCAGTTATTGCATTTTGGTGACAAAATATGTCAGTCGCAACTTTGGGTGCTTTAAATCAAGAAGGATCCTTGAGAAGCATGTTTGCAGCATAAGTCTTGGCTGTGCTACAGTACGGGTAATATAACATTTAAACGCATAGGATCCTGACCAGTGCGAATCTTTAGTATCTTGTCTATTTGGCCCACATTCGTTGGCTACTTCAACGCGGAGCTAGTTTGTACAGCTTTTTGAAGTTTTTGAACCTACGTAACGAGGCTTAGCCCTGCAGGCTTGGCCGACACAGACAAACAAAACCGGAATAGCTTTCTGCGTTTTATTTGCCCCATCACCAATCGCACACCGGCCCCACGTTAATAAGATTTGGGATGACGTAAACGAACACTTGCAAATGTTCTGTGTCGAAGATCCGACGCAGCACAAAACGACCTTTATTTAATTCAGAAATTAGACCGGTCCGGTGAAGGCCACGTCCGCGCAACATTAAATGTCAAACGCTTCACATTTGCAGAAACTGATACCTAAATTCCAAGGAAAGTGGCCAGCCAATATTCGGGATGCCGTCCAGTCGCAAAAAGTCTGAATTCACGTTAATAGCACATGCTAGCCTTGTCCCTTCACACCCTATAAATCGAACTATTGTAGAAAATGAAATTTCGTCACTTGTAACGAAGGGTTTTGATATTAAAATATTTCTGAGATTACAACTTTACACGCTTACAGTGCAATGGCCAGGAATAAGTCGAAGGTAAAAAATAGCAGGATATAGCATAGAAAATATGTAGAACTTCTCAGTGAAGTATTTATCTTAACGGCCTCTTCCATCATTGTATCCACTCTGTAATCTACGTCGAGAAACATTAGAAACTTTGAGTGTTCATCTCAACCACACCACCAGATTCACTATCATGCTATGAAAGATAGCGAAAGTCCACATAAGAATACTGCAGTATGTCCCTTCTTTTCCTAAAAATGTACGAAACCAGTGGTTATGCTATTAGTCATCCTGCAACTATCCTCCGGACATAAAAAGGCCTAGTCACCGAGGTCTCAAGTACCTTGCTTGTTGGAGGTACTGTTGAGGCGAGTCCTGTTGTATATGCGGGGAGACATTGCGCACATCCTCGGGCCAGCCTTCTTTAAGGTGAACGGAGGATGCAGGAGAAGTGTAGTCGGTAAGTGAGGTGTCTGAGCACCGCACAAGCTGCCGAAGGGAGCTCTGTTCTGAAGAACTTGGCGAATGGTTAATTTGCTCAAGTTTATCCACCTCTTCCATCCAAGTTCTGTCCTCGTACCTTGGCGGTGGCCGGGGATCATAGCGAACGTGTTTCGTCGGCGTCTTTGGAAGGGCACGATCCCAGATGCTGGTGGTACTCAGACGGTTAGTGTAGGCGGTACGCATCGCACTGGCGGACTGCACATTTCCGCACCCGGAGCTTCGGAAGGCGACCGTGGGGCTTCTGACGACTTCGTTCGGTTGTCGGGCTGAAGATTCGAAAGTTGACCCAAGACCCCGGTTGTTCTCGGACCATCCGTAACCATTCTGACTTGGGGCATGGGGACTGCCGTTGTAGGGAGTGAATGGCCGAACAGCACTGGAGTACATTTCTGCGGAATGCAAGGATCTGTTCAGGTGTGCGTTTCAATTAGCATTGAAGATATGAATAACGCCTCGAGATGATATTTTAAAATACTTTTCGGCTACTTCCTGTAACTGTCAGTGTTTAGGACACGCAGTTCCTCTGTAAATGGACAGAAACTTTGGCAGATTTCCAATCATACGGTAGGCTTTCAAATTTTGTGAGTACAGGGCGTTATTAACTATTTATCAGGAAGCACGATTACAACTGCAGATGTCAACGTCTACTTTCCTGACTAATTCTCTTTACGTTGATTAAATCTGAAATTCGTCAGCCAAAAGAAATAAAACTTCTTTGACTACTTCAAGGCGGTACAAACAGAATGCCCAATAGCAGTCAGTGCTTCCTTTAAGCGAAAAATAGTGGAAAGGTAGCCAGCCTTGTGTTAACCTCTTTTTGTAGCTTTTGGAGGGCCTTCAGATTCCTCTTGGAGCTCGTGCTTCAAGGGTGGAAACATTAGTCTTTAACTAAGCTAATAGTTGCGGATTTCTAATGTGTCACTTTTTTAGAAAAAATCGGTCGTCGTCTTTCAAAAATCGAACACTTACTAATCAAAACCTGGTTACCTTGCTTTAATGGACTCCTTTCATTTAGCTACCATTTAATTCCATGAATTCGTATTATACGTTTAGGGCAAAAACCAGGTTTCTAGTGTTTCAATACCGAAAAAGCTATTCTGTCGCAAAATGCCACACGAGGAGGGAAAGTGTGCAAGTGTTTCGAAACCCCATTTTGAAGACTGGTCAGTGATGGTTTGTCAGGTGCGATCTAGCTTTTTCACGCAGAATTGTCGATTCAAATCCGTTTAGTCTTGCTGTTAAATTGTTAGACAACTTCTCACGCACTACACAAAGCAGCTCAAGCCACGAATAATCTATAATTGCCTCACTCGGCTGCGGAGAAGGCTGTTGTACAGTTACTTAAGTTTAGTTCCACTACCTTTCCGAATGCGAATATGGTCTGGTAACATGTTTGGCGTATCTCTACATTTAGACACAGGCCAAGTACTTTCAGATGACCAAAACCTTTTCAATCCTCACTTCAAGGAAGGACTCCCGAATGTGGCTCATATGTGGGTACTTAATTTCTTCTAGGCCAAAGAAGTTATAGTGTTCCCTCATTTCCCTCGGTTGAGGTTTACATTCCACTGCTAGCGAACAAGTCTTGTGAAATACATGCAACCGAAATTACCGTATCTAACTTAGGGGATTAAAAGAGTAATTGGGGTGGGGGGACTTCGTTTCGCCAAAAGTCCCAACATGATCCTCATCAACTACAGTATGGCTTCTCTGATACCGAATTTCCCGATTAATATCACGGAGTCTGCCCTTCTCTAATTAACGTTATGCTCTCTGATGAACGGTAGATCCCTCTCCAAATTTAGTGTTAATGGTTATTATGGCCTTGCGTAAGTTGTCTTCGAAATAAAATCAACGTAAAAGAGGGACCTATTTATGCTATTAAGAACATAATCCAGGGACTCTTCAAACAGATCACAAGGATGGTTATTTCGTGCGAAAAACGATGAACATACAGCAGTTAAAGACAAGCCTTATCGTGATAGGTAGTGCAGAATCTCATCCAGAGCGGGCGAAAGCACTCTTATTGTGGTCATTCATTAAGTGAGTGGTGTTCACCTGAAAACACTCTGCAAAGATCACTTGATTGATTCGCGTCAGGTCTGTGGATTAACGTGTAGGGTCCCATAACCCGTGCAGACCAAAAAAAGACTATTTTATATCAGTCAAGCTTCTGGGTAACGAAAGTTATTCGCAGGCGATACAGGCTGAAGTAGGTCTATTTTTTTATTTTCTTCGACTCCTAATAGCGGAACTATTTCATACTAAACACTGGCGACCACATAGAATTGTTTGCGTGTCCAAGCTTTTTCGAAAAACTTTCCTGGGATCTGTACAGTAATCCCTCGTTAAAGCGCGCTTCGAATTTCGCGGTCCCATTCTATTGCGGACTTTATATGTAGGCATATCTCAATACATATCACGGATTTTTCGTTGGTTTACGGAGTTCTGCGACGTTCGGCCACTTTTTTCCTGGTACATGCTTCCTCAGTTGGTTTACTTACTTGATTTCATAGACGGTACGAATATTGACGGAGGGTTGAGAAGCTACTCAATCAGAGCACGTCGTTAAGTATCCTGGGCGCTGATTGGCTCAGCGAAGGGGGGCAGCGTTAGGTTCCACATTGCGTTAGCCGGCGCCCCGTCTGGCTCATTCGGTATCTACGTACTTCAATGTGGAAAGTTGTAACTTGTGTGTTTATTCTGTGTTTTTGCAAGTAGTCGAGCGCTTTGTTATGCTTCCATAACCATCCTCTCCTACTGCTTCTGGGTCCATGTATTACATATTAAATAAAACTTCTTAATGAAACAAGCTAAGCGCATTTGTGCGTAGCACAAAAACATTGCGCCCACTGTCTAAGAGAATATAAAGGGTTTATGCTGTATAACTATGTGATAAATCGCGAAGTAGACACGATCCTACACATACTGCAGCACCTGGGCAATTGACTACTGTTATCTGACGCTGTCTCCGATTATGAATTCGATTGAGAATTCAAAACGTCAGGCTAATAAAGCTCTTGTTCTAACGATCGTGTCTCATTCTTCGTGTTTAATTCCCGGAACTCTCCTCTTAGCTTCTGTGCGGGAGAAATGCTTAAAAGAGTGTGCGAGGATTTTTAAAAGCTTAAAATATATAAAAATAACCATAAAGAATATACTTTTTACTTCGTAAATTTTCCCTTTTTGCGAGGGCTCTGTAACGCCCCAGAAACAGAATTGATTGTCAAGGCTAGTAAATAAAGTTATTTTTATAATTCTTAGATATCACCTGCGTGACCCTTGTAACTCTTATTCTCCGGATCGCCCAAAAAACGTACCTTTCCTTTGAATGCCGAAATCAGCCCTAACTCACATTATTATAATGGTCACCATAGTGGTTATTTATTACCCCTAAATGCAATGAAATACAAGAACCTTACATCTCATTCAGAGTCTGTCAGTTTTCTCGTAGGACTCTGCTGCTGACTGTAAACTTGCCGCTACAGGATAGTAATGCGCCACCTTGTTAAACCCAGTCTTTGCAAACCTTTAAGACGGAAGGCGACCAGCTCTAGCCTCTTGGCTATGTCGGTACTTTAACTGAAACGCTTTTGAACACATGCGGTGATCACCTTCTTTGATGGGTTCGAAATTCGATACGCATCCTACTCAGTCAGAGCGAATAAATGCACTCCTAGCGTTCTTAAAACCGTTACCTAAACAACCATTGTTAAATTTAGTGTGCTAATAAAATATTGATCATATGTGAATTGAGCCCTCTAGCGATATGTGGTTTTTATGTCCACTTCATACAACTTTTTCAAAAAACACTTTAACACCCTTCGCCAAGTAAAACCATAAAACTGCGATTTTTAAGTCTGCAGATGTATCTCATGAAACCGAAAGATTTAGTAGTATGCGGCGATACCGCATAATGTTAAATACAAAAGGGTACAATAACGAGGAGTCCAGCTATTCTTCCCATGGTTGAATGATTCCTGCTACACCAAACAAACGGCTGAACCGATTACTTGGAGCCATCTGTTTTACCTTTCAAAAGACGACGATCTTCTCACCTGTGTAACATGTAAGCTATCTTTAGGATCTTCTCAGAATTCTGAATTGAGGTAGTCAGTATTTTAAGCGGGAGGTAGTTGTCTGAGTAGATGTAGTAACCCCGCCATCATGTATCTGTTTTCGTTCTTCGCAATGGCCGCGACTGGACGGTTCTTCAAAATAATTATTGGCCGGGGACCCGCTGCATAGATACGAGAGTTGAATATTCGCGAATGAAGACGTACAGTGTGTACCCCGCGTCATAGTAGACGCTGGGCAATGACTTACTACGCAGACTTGCACAGAAACCGCCGCATTCTCCGTTTCATTACTTCCCGCCCTCTGATGGCAAGACAATGCCAAGACGACCGGAAGGCGGGCTCGGAAACCATGGCTGACAAATACGAGCAGTCTGTCTTAGTGTGCCACACACAACCTGGCATCTGCAGCATGTTGCGGGCTGTTACCAGGACGGCTCAGGTCTCACATGCATGTTAGCGCCAAAAGCTGCATTGAAAAGAGCCACTGAGGCTTACTCCAAGTTCGTCAGTCAGTCATTCCGCACGCAGTGTATTTGTTATGTTTTTCTTAACCTACATCAGCATTTAAGACTGTGTTGTAGACGCTAGTTTCAGTACCCCTACGACGGGTCGCGCGAGAGATAGGCTGGACCGATATGGAGACCAGAGTATGACGCCCCATGCAGTAACCGGGGTGCGCTGAGTCCATGCATCTCATAACAAGAACTACACATAGTATTTTGGCACGCCTGTGCGCAGGCCCACGCAGCGCCAGCCACTCGCGCCCAATTACATCTCTGATGGCCAACCATTTCGGCCAGCGGACTGATACAGGGGAGAGGGAAGAAAGAGTGGGGTAGATGCTTCGCAAGTCGGTTATCGCCATAAACCACTTCAAGTGCAATTCCCCGTCCTCCGCCTAGCACTCTGTGGGGCACACGGTGGACATTGTCTTTTGCGACAGCCGAACTGATGAAAGTGTCACCTTTTCGAAAAAGGACTGACAGTTTGGCGCAACTGGTCTCCCTGGTAGGCAAATCCGCCTACCGAATCTTGGGATTAAAGTTCTGTCAGGGAATGGGACGTACGGCTGGTACAAAGTTGCTAGGTAGGAGTAGGTGCAATTTTTCGGGAAAGACCGACTCTATTTGAGGTACAAATCGATTTTCGTTTTTTGCCTCGTTCTTTGTTCTCTGGATGATGCAGAACAGTAGGGGAGTTTCGACTTCTTGAAGGAATTGGGTGTCCTCGGCAAAATACAGGGCAAAGAGAACGAGTTTTTGTGTCACTGGAAGAAAATCGCCCGAGAAAGGACTTTCATTTGCCACT